GGGACCCTCATTATGTTACTGTGTTCGTGTGGGGCTATTTTTTGCCTTGTTAGTGGTATTAACTAGCGATTTCTTTTTACTTATTAAATGCCCCCATTACTAGCGTTATACGCTAAACAGTTTTTAGAGATAAAACTCTTTACATTCGATTATCATGAAAGCAAATCTCAGAGAACGGTTGACTAGGTACCAATGTTTTATTAGACCAAAGGTTCATTTTGCGCCGGAGTTCTCCTTTAAAAGCATTTTTTTTAATTTCTTGTTAAATGTGTTTTTCTCAGATCTACAGTTGAATCACAATGCAGCATCAGCCACTGTAATTGTGCATGTAAACATAACCAATATCTTGTTTACAGGTATGGATCGTTTACGGCGATGGTTCCCTCGGATACAGCGTGGCTGAGTTTGATACCTTCACACGCCACAAGGTAACAAACAAGCCCTTAAAGGATTAGTTCACTTTTAAAAAAACTTTTGCTGATAATTTAATCACCCCCATGTCATCCAAGATGCCTATCTCTTTCTTTCCTCAGTCGAAAAGAAATTACGGTTTTTGATGAAAACATTCCAGGATTTTTCTCCATATAATGGACTTAAATGGGAACCATACGGTCCAAGGTCCAAAATACAGTTAATAACAGTTTCAGATGCAGCTTAAAATGTCTTTAAACGACACCAGACGATGAATAAGGGTCTTATCATGCGAAACGATCGCTCATTTAAAAAATAAATAACAACGTTTAAGTTTTATAAGCTCACATGCTCGCCTTGCTCTGTTCTGTGTAACTCTCCTGTTCGAACTCGTTCATCAAAATGAACAAATCTTAAATGAATCAAATGACTCGAAAAAAGATTTGTTCATTTTGATGAACGAGTTCGAACAGGAGAGTTACACAGAACAGAGCAAGGCGGGCATGTGAGCTTATAAAACTTAAACGTTGTTATTTATTTTTTAAATGAGCGATCGTTTCGCATGATAAGACCCTTATTCATCGTCTGGTGTCGTTTAAAGACATTTTAAGCTGCATCTGAAACTGTTATTAACTGTATTTTGGACCTTGGACCGTATGGTTCCCATTTAAGTCCATTATATGGAGAAAAATCCTGGAATGTTTTCATCAAAAACCGTAATTTCTTTTCGACTGAGGAAAGAAAGACATAGGCATCTTGGATGACATGAGGGTGAGTAAATTATCAGCAAAAGTTTTTTCAAAAGTGAACTACTCCTTTAAAACACTGATTGTAACTTTTACAGCATCAAGATCAGAATGTTCTAAAATGTATGTTTTGTAAAAATGCACAACATTTACAACATTTCTCTAAGTTCACCCAAAAGTATACACTCATGCCGTTCCAAACCCATAAAACCTTCGTTCCTCTTTGAAAAACAAAAGATATTTTTAATGAAGAGATTTCTGTCCTGCCATTGAATCTCTATTCTATCAAAAGTTTGATGCTTCAAAACATTCATAAAGAGATCCTAAGATAAACCCATGTGAATCGAGCGGTTTAATCCAAGTCTTCTGAAAAGACATATTGCTTTATATAATGATAACAGATTTTATTTAGTTGATAATTAATTATGAATATTTTTTATTTATCTATAAACATTGATCAGTGAAGCTCAACTGTGTGAGAACAAACCTCATTCGATCATGTGGAAGCTCTCATGATCAAAGTTTATATGTGAATAAAAGCCTAAATTAAATCTGTCCATCATATAAAGTGATTGTTTCTCTTCAGAAGACTTTGATTAAACTGATCGATTCATATGGATTATGTTTACAATGTCTTAAACAAGTTTTTGAAGCTTGCGAATTTTTGTTGCGTGGACTTTTAATGGAGGGACAAAAATCATAAGATTCGTTACGAAGATGAATGAAGGGCTTATGGGTTTGAAATGACATGAGGGTGAGTAAATGTTGACAGAACCCTCATTTTGGGGGAACTATCCCTTTAAATCTAGGTGTTAATTGTAAATTGGCTAAGTTTCAAAAGCATATTGTTAGTTGTTACTTGAATATATTCTGTTAAAATGTATGCTGTCAATTAGCTTGTAATGACTACCTTGTCATATCATGTCAGACCCCAGTGATTGCTCTGGTAGGAAATGATGCGTGCTGGAGTCAGATCTCCAGAGAACAAGTGCCTATGCTGGGGAGCAACGTGGCCTGTGGTCTTGCCTTTTCAGGTGAGGCGCAATCTTTAAATTGTTGTTCACTGCACATGTCAATGTTTTAAATCGCCAGTACATCTTGTGATCCACAAAAACATTTAATCTAATAATCTAATATATTGTATATCGATCAGTCATAGTGATGTGTTGCGTCACATGCTGTTCCATTTCTTCATTTCCTTGCAGATTATCACATTGTAGCTGATGGTTACGGCGGAAAAGGTTACCTGATTGGCCGAGAGGATGAGTCGCAGCTTGATGACATCATTAAAAAGGCGCAGAAGGAGTGCAGAGAGGGAAAGGCAACTCTGCTAAACGTTCTGATCGGAAAGACCAACTTTAGGGAAGGTTCAATCTCAGTTTAGAGAGAGAAACTGTGCACCATCCGGCCAAGATACCCAAAGTCTTTCTTGTGTTGAACTTGTCATGCTCAAAATATTCCATAAGACAGCCTTTACTAAGTTATATAGATTCAGCTGATTTGAAAAGAGATCAAAGCAACTTCATATCAGATCTTCAGAAACATTTAGTCCTAAAACCAAAAAGAAAAATTATATTATGTTTAAAGAAAATTAAGCCTGCGTTTAAGACCAGTTTAAGATGTTTTTTCTAGTTTGACATTATACTTATGATGATTTCCGCCTCAATTTTCATGACCATAAAGCAAAAAAGGGAGAAAATATTATTTAAATGAAAAATGTAAAAAATTTTGTTTGATTTCGTGCTGAAATGTGAGCTTGGACATGTTTTGCAAGTAATGTTTTCACTGAGCTGAAAAGGAGCAAGCACAGTGCCTTCACTTTGTCCAGTAAATATAGATTGATGATTGAATATATCATATATATATATATGATTTTTGAGTGCCTGTATTTACTGAATGTTAAACCGATCTTGTTCAGAAATTTGCTAGAAATATTTTTCAAAGAACTTTGTGTGTGTGAATCAAATGGCTCTATGTTTATTAAAAAATGTCAATCTTAACCAAAGTAATATCCTAACAGATACTTGTAAATACAGTCCTGTTTTTTTTGCTGAAATATCAGACCTGGACATACCATAAGGCCTCTCCTCGGTTTGTGATTGATCACTTCAGCATCACCCAAAAAATTACCATGTGGATATGGAAACATAATTTATCAAGATTTGTTGATGTAATAACATCTCTAAAATAGTGTTAGAAAATGTTCTGTAGGTGTCAGACTGCCATGCATCCAAAATAATATAACCATGTTGCCTCCAAATACCCTATAAATGAAAACAGCATTTCTAAGACCATCTCTTTTGCATCTGCTCAGGCCCAGGAATCATTACTTTATGGGCCTTTGTTTTGTCTGCTCACAGATATAACCCTCTAACTACAGGTACCTTATGTAGATTTCCATGTGCAGTCAGTGAAAAGCAATCAAATACATGACCAGTGTGTGAAAAGAGAGAACTAGAGGAAGAAAGTACTGAAAATAAGGATGCTCTTGTGTCTCTGCGCAAGAAGCTATAAAAAACTTGACGCTTCATTAACCACAGGCACATCATGACCTGTCCAAAATAGAGCAAGCCTTGCCATTTACCCATTAATTTTATTATGGTAGGCAGCATTTGAATGGGAACATATCATACTTTCACTGAGACTGAACTGCTATAAAAAGAGCAACTTAAAGACTTTACAGCCATCTGCCATTGAGCTGCATGTTTCCAAATGCTAGAATTGATTATATTATATTATAAATATTGTGACCTTTTATAATTATAATAATTTTGTAACCATATCAGACATCAAACACTTTCAGGATCCACTGTTTAATTTATCAGGAAATTACCATGATGTTCGTTCCTATGTATGTTGCATTTTCAAACCGGTTGGGATTCAAAATGCACAATGCGAATGATTAATATCTGCATTATTTTATAGTAATTCAGTTGTACCCAATAAATAAGTATCCAATAGGAATAATAATTTTCTTCTATCATTAAAATGATTAAATATGTCACTTTGCTGTTGTCAAGTTACTAATAGATCACCCCCATGGAACTGAGCAATAGTTTGTCCCATAAACATGTGACCTGCATCACATGATTGCATTGGCTGACATTTTAAAAACGAACCGGTGAGTGGACTCTGATTTTCTTCCACATTTCTTTGATAATAGTGCATATAATGAGAGTGCAAAATATAATATATAAAAAAAATGCCGTGTGGGTGACCAAATAAGCCAAGAATGTCAACTATGTTACCTGTCAACTATGTTGCTAGAAATATCAATGTTGCTCATTTTAGTCATAGACATGAATCACTATATTTTTTTTGGTATAGTTAACCCTGTTTGTAAGTTATAGTTTATATATAACTGTACTTGTCATAATTCAAAACAGTATAAACAGTATACTGTTCTGAATTTTGGGGTCAGTAAACATATATTTTTTATGTTTTTGAAAGAATTTAGAATATATATTTTTGAATATATTTAGAAATGCAATGTATTTCTGTGATACATTTTTTTAATCATCACTCCAGTCTTCAGTGTCACATAATCCTTCAGAAATCATTCTAATTGATTTGGTGCTCAAGAAACATTTCCTATTAATATTATCAATGCTAAAAACAGAGCAGCTCAATATTTTTGTGGAAACTGATACATTTTTTCAGGGTTCTTTGATTTAATAGAAAGTTCAAAATAACAACATGTATTTGAAATAGATAAATGTATTTACTGTCACTTTTATTAATTGAATACATCCTTGTTGAATAAAAGTATTTTTTCTTACTGACCCCAAATGTTAGAATGGTGTCTTCACATTATACATGATCCATTACTATGTAACAATCCATCATTTCCATGATTTTGACAGATGTCAGCAGCAGAGAAACAGCGAAGATACCGGGCTCGGCGGGATGCTGATCCCTCAAGAAGGGCACAATATTTAGAAAAGCAGAGAGAGGCATGGTACAGACTAATAAGACTAGGAAATGTGAAAGCAATCGCAGAGTTGAGTGAGAGGGAGAAACAAAGCAAAAGAGACAAGTGGAGAAAAGCACAACAGAGAAGAAGACAAACAGAGCGAATGCTAGAAAACATAATTACTCCAGCAGACAGCCCTGAATTTGACCAGCCACCTAAAGAATCAAGGTAGAAAGCTACGTTTATGTCCTTTAAGATTTAAAAAAAAAAAAAAAAAAAAATTTATTTAAATTAAATTTTTATTCTGATATGCTATAAAATAAATGTTCATATAGTCAATAATGTGTCTGGTCAACTATGTTACATCAACTATATGACTCATTACTGTCAACTCTGTGTATGTGTGTGTATTTTATATATATATATATACAGTATATATATACGTTTATATGGTCACACTTTAGATTAGGGTCCAATTCTCACTATTAACTAACTATTAACTATGACTTTTGCCTCAATAAACTTCTAATGACTGCTTATTAATTGTTAGTAAAGTAGTTGTTAAGTTTAGGTATTGAGTAGGATTAAGGGATGTTGAATATGGTCATGCAGAATAAGGTATTAATTTGTGTTTTATAAGTACTAATAAACAGCCAATATCTTAGTAATATGTGTGCTAATACGCAACTGGTAAATCGTGAGAACACACACACACACACACACACACACACACACACACACACACACACACACACACACACACAACTGACATTAACGGCTCACATAGTTGATGTGAGTAACTGTTGATATGGCAACACTAATTTTAGTGTCCTTACATATTTTACATATAGGCTACTGTAGTATTAACAGTAAATTATGCATAATTACGTACTATAACCCTAAACCAAACCCTAATCCTTAACCCAGTAAGTACATGTTGTTAATAATACTTTTGTATAATTACACTGTAACAACTGCATTAAAATATAGTGCGACCATATTTTTTAAATGACTTAAATGCTGTTTCTGACATGCAATAAAGTATTTTGCATATCCCATAGGTAGAACTAATAGCATATCTGAGGAAAATTATTTAGATGCAGACTTATGATTAAGAAAAATGTTGTTATCCATTTATAGAATCAGTGCGTGTGCAAAAACGTGAAATCTGAACATTTAATGTTTCTAAAATGCCCCCAAAAAAAGAGTAATTAGCTTTATGAAAACTGCTAATTTAATAGACTAGGTTTGGAGCAGTTATTTTTGTATCTTTGAGATACTACTATACTATTAGTTTTTTTATAAATGTTTTGATTTAGTTAAAATTATATATATTTTTTCTGTTTTCATTTAAATTTTAGTTAAAGTTTTAGTAATTGTGTTGTGCGTTTTGTCATTCTTATTAGTTAAAAAAAATTATATATATATTTTATTTCTGTTTTAGTTAACTAAATGGAAATGAGAAATGTTGCCTTGGCACGTAGCTGAAATAAAATAAGTTTTATGTAAAAAAATTTTTTTTTTTTTTTTTTTTGAATGGTTTTAGTTAACTATAATAACCCTGTTTTGGAGACACTGGCTGCCTGTGTGAGTGATGACGTGTGTGACAGTCTGGCGGATTAAACGTTCACTCACATCCAGGCACAGACACACGCACGCGCATCACATGTAAAGCTCAGCTTGTGAACGCGAGGATCCGCAGAGGAAGAGACTCTGACAGGTACTTCGCTGAAGGCTGACCTGAATTTTCTTTTTCAAGGCCTTTAGCGTTTTTGTCTCTGAAGGCTGACTGGCACTGATACCCTACTGTCGTTGAGATTCTATATAGAAAGACACTTAACGTTTGTTCGATAGATAGATAAGAGAATTTGTCCTTAGTGTTTTGTTTTATCATCAGCAAACGCTTCGAGGAAATTTAAGATTAAGTACTCGTATCCTCCTTTTTCTCTGTTCACCTCGGTAAGTAGTGTTTGGAACATTTTATGACATGCTTTTTGTTTCAGTAGGCTACTGCTGTTCCCGTTAGGTTTTTAAAATTTTAGTCGTACTCATGTAATTTACCGGATTGGTAAATCTCGCCTTTTCAGTTATCTCATCTTTCCTCGACTTAATGGATGTACTTTCTTAAATGTTTTGAATATTAAATAATAATATAAATATATAGAGAAAATTGTGTAATTTTAGCCTGCATGCTAAATCTGTATTGTGTCACATATGGAACAAAAGCAACAGGTGATTGAACGTTTAGTTGAAGACACATAAACGTCCCAGCTAAAACAGCCGAGACATGGTATTATAAGAGTTACGTTATTAGTACTCGTAATTCTGGTGTCAAATATGTAATAAAAAAAATCAGTTATAACTTAATTAAATTTTTACCCGCTGAAATAAATCACACATGTAGCTAGCCTGTTAGCTTGCTAGCTCAAAGAGGCTGTCTTGGGTTTTTGGCCAGAGTTTGTTGTTGTAGGTTATGATTGATTTTCTAGGCTTTTCATGTACAGTCGAATCTGCCTGACATGAATATAAAAAACAAAGAGAAAACAGAGAAAGAACGGAGCTTGGATTTGACTATCAGCTGCTGGCCCCTGAGTGAAGTGAGCACAACAAAGACCTGCAGCATCTTCAGTTTTGTTCCTCACATCATGAGCATGTAAATACTCTGAAGTTTGTTCTTCCAGGTAGAAGAGAGTAAATCTCATTCAATGTCAAGGGCAAATAAAACAATTAAGCTTTGTTAACGTAATTGAACACTTGATGTTGATCTATCTATCTATCTATCTATCTATCTATCTATCTATCTATCTATCTATCTATCTATCTATCTATCTATCTATCTATCTGTCTGTCTGTCTGTCTGTCTATCCATCCATATATATATCCATATATCTATCTATCAGCTGTGTAGCCTTTTAGTCAATATTTGTTGCTTTGTAAATGGATCAACACATTTTTTTTGTAGGAGTCGAATGGCCTCTGTTGTTACAGTGAAGACAGAGAAGCGTCCTTCCCCTGACTCTGAGGATGGCGACACAGTGGCTAAGAAGGCCAGGTATGAAAACAGATGTTCGTGTCTTGCTTTGCTGCCAGCACATTCCTAAGGCGAGCCAAATATTCTTCATCCATGACAGTCAGCCCCGGTTTGCTGATCTATTCTGACAAACATGTTTTCGCAAAGAACTTCCTGATAAGGATGATTTCACCAGGAAGTTTTTTTTTTTCATATTCGGTAACACTTAATAATATTATATTAGTTAAAGGTGCTGTAAGCGATTTCTGAGAAACGCTGTTGAAAGTGGGTTGGACCTAGCAGCACAACACACTTGTAGCTAATCAGCAGTAGGGTTGTATCCCTACCCATAAGTTATCCCTAATATATCATAAGGAAATGATAGGTGAAAAAGAACGGTGTAGAAGCCCCTAACACTTGTTGTAAGTCTAAACTTGACATTAACAGTAAACCCTCAAATCTGAATCGTTGATTGGAATGTGTATTGGAACAAGGGTGTTGATCATAGAACATGTTTTACTTAGTGAAATCACGTTCACCAGAGTATTGCATGAGACAGATTTAGAAAGAATTAGAGAGACATATCAAGTTTATTGTTGTTGTGAGAAGATAAACTAGTATCTAACTCGCTTTTAAACATGAAAAATATGTATCTTGACTGTATCACTGTGCAGATTAAAATTATACAACAGTTGACTCATTCAATAGATTTTGAGTGCAACCCTACTAATGCATGATTTTCTCCAATTATTTCATTTTCATTTTTACATAAATTGTTATAAACTGCATTCATCAAGCTCAAACTTTCAACTCTATTACGCAAGTAAAAAATTATTTAACATATGTTTTTCTTTATTTTATGGTATATATAAGTTTATCAGTAACAACAAACCCACAAAAAAATCCAAAATTAAATTTACGTAAATACGTAAACAGCTGAACGTAAAATAGTCCGCAAACATTACAAACATCATAGAGAATGAATAGAAAATAAAATGGCTCATGAGTTTGATAGACCTCCTTTTAGGTCCTATTTTTGAAGTCAGTTTAAGCCGTGCATTTGCATACAGCTCTGCAGCGTAGTTTCATCTATATGCATGTATCCTCTGACTTGATTACATTTCCTCCATCTGTGCTGACTATAGGAAGTTGTTGCCCAGCCTGAAGACCAAACGTGCCCCTGAGCTGGTGCTGGTGATTGGCACAGGGGTGAGTTCAGCTGTAGCTCCTCAGGTGCCCGCGCTGCGCTCCTGGAAAGGTCTGATCCAGGCGCTGCTAGATGCTGCCAATGACTTTGATCTGCTAGAGGAGGAAGAGAGCCGGCGCTTCCAGAAAAGTCTGCAAGAGGACAAGAACCTGGTGCACGTTGCTCATGACCTTATTCAGAAACTTTCACCGGTAAGAAAATTTCAAGAGTTAAACGTTTTTAAGTTTGAAGTGTTGATAGTACTTTTAGATGCAGCATGCGTTCGGCTAAAGCAACTTACTTTTCATTCACTTGATCAGTTTTTGCATTCTCCGGGAATCTATCCCATAACCTTGCAGTTGCTAGTGCTATAACTCTATTTTTTTGAGCTACTGTACAATATGCTGGAGTAGATCTAGGAGTGTTAGAGATTTTATTAGTGCTTATTTTAATGACACAGATTTCACAAATCAATTTGATTTAGATTCACAAGCTCTTTATTTTATTCGATTCAGATTCAAATCCAATGGATATATCCAAAATATCGGATATATCCAAAATATTTTTGGATATATCATATTGGCCATACAGTACATTTCAGTATTTCATAAAGAAAACAGTCTCTCTACGAAAGCTGTAAACTATAAAAAGAACCCTGTCTGTTGCCTCTTTTTACATAATGTCATATGTCTTAAGTGTCCCCAGAATTTGTCTTAGAATCTGTAAAGTTCCAGATCAAAATGCCCCACAAATCATTTATTATACTCTGCCCAAAATGCCCCTTTTTGGGAAGAAGCAAAAACACACTGTTTTTGTGTGTGTATCTTTAAATGTAAAGGAGCCGCTGCTCCCCGCCTCCCTTTCCAGAAGAGGGCTGTGCCTTTACAGCTCGTGCCGCGGATACTCTGGCAATAAAACAACGAAACAGGAGAAACAGTATGAAGCCTTTCTACAGAACGCGTTATTGCATTTCAGAGTGCTGCTTTACCAGTATTTTCTACGTAAACGCCCTAGACAGACCTTGAATTTTTTTTCTCCCATTCAGGGCCATTCTGTTTATTATTAATGGGGAATATAAAAATAGGAGTGGTTGGATCGTTACCATTATAGGATGGTTGTGTACACACACTACCAACACATATTTATGTTCAAACACCATGCAAAAGTGAATTTTGCATAATAGGTACCCTTTAATATTAAAGGTTAAAATTAACAACAGTCCAAATTTAATTGGTATTTATTTATTTATAAGAAATATTCAGCACACAAATAAAAACTTAAGTTTAATTTAATTGTTTGCATTTAATGATATAATGTGTTTCTATTCCAGTTCGTTGTTGAAATATAAAGATTTAAATGGTGGTGGCCAAATAAACTTGTTTTCTTGACAGATTTTCGCAAACATACAATAAATGAGACCTCACTAACAGGTAAAAATATAATGAATGATATATTAAGCATATATTAAGAAACTATAACTATACTCTCTATTTTATCTAGCTGACTAACCAGCTGTAAACATTAAACGGCTCTCCTGAGGTAAATGTAACATTACATGACATTGTTTACAAGCCATTTTATTGATGTTTTCCCGTGGCAGAAAATATGATTGAGTAATTACATGAGACATGATACATTTCAACAAGTTGTACTGTTTCTTTCAATATACCTTCTTATGTTTATTCATGTTTATTTTATGCTATAACTACCGGTAGTAGTAAAGAGGAAGAGATGACGGTTCACAGTGATCTGTCACGCCACATTAAATGGCACAATTTTTTGCTTGTTTGTTTCAATTTCTTGATAAAATTGACAATTTGAAAGCTGAGACTTTTTTCTAATCCAAAGTTACAAAGGACCAAGTTTATTACGATTATTGAATGGCTGGCGCACTACAAATGACACACACCAGAAAACAGCATAGATCGAAAAATCGATCTTGGGATTTAAAAATCAGTATCAGTTCATCAAAATGAAGATCATTTTATATTGTCAACCCAGCCCTAAAATCTTATGGCTTATACCATAAATTAGTAGTTAGTTTGTAAAGAAGCACTTAAAATTTCCTGAGGGAAAAAAACATTTTTTTTTGTGGTGGTGGGGTTAGTGAAAATGTTGAAAAAAGAAAAAATCTTTACTGTTGAGCTCTGATCATGAGCACAATGCCAGGCAGTGCGTGGAAGAGCACAACTTTGAATTTGTCCATCATTAGTCGGTTCCTTTCTCACTGGCTAGAATGAGGTGTAGAGCCACGTGCCACCTGTGTTGTTGTTTTTGTCAACCCGTCAAAACGGCACACAGTGATTTATCCCTGTTTTTCATTGTCAAGCCCCTATATCAATTGCATCCAAACCCACCAATGTGGCTAGAGGATTTAGATGGCATTAGGCCTGTGAAAAGGAGTTAGGTAATGAATTTCAGCAACAATGCTGGTGTTTCATTGCTTGGAATGGTTGTAGCTGAACAATCCACATCAACAAAACAACTCTCCTAGAAAAACATCAGTCTTTCATCATCCCAGTAACTTTCCAAGCTCAGTTTGTTTTGTTATTGTTAGTTGCAATGCTCTGCAGTTAAAGCTAGGGTAAGTGATTTCAGAGAGGCTAGCAATAGCGAGCTAGCTTTGAAAGCATAAGACCCCACCCTCCCTTTCTGAGCATCTCCAAAGCCACGCCTCCTCCAAAACACATGAACGCACACAGCCAGAGCAGAGTCTGCAAAGCATCACGAGAGACTACGTTAAATTAGCTCATGTCTCAAAGAACATAACATTACAATAATAATGAACTTAAACAACTTGCAGAGCTCATTCGTGACAAAACAAAACGGACCGAATCGGAAAGATGTGAGACTGACCGGCCGTTCACTGGTCCGGGCCGATCATGCGGAAAATTAAAATGAAACAAATTACCTGTTGGAGTTCAGTGCAAAAAATGAGGCTAATCTGAACATGCATCCAGGATATACACCTCAAAAACAACAGGCCTCGGCAAGACAATAATCCAGTCAGCTTTGGCGTTATATATTTCTTTAGTTAGGCATGCTTTGTAATGCTCACTGCAAGTCGGAGGATGCCAGTCAAAATAAATATTAACATGTTTGAGCATGAAAGTCCTGCCTGAGACATTTAAACTGCTTTTTCGGTTCAGACTTCAAAGCTATCGAGTTACTGCATGTTGATAAGCACAAAAAAAAGTCCCAAACCTTCCAAATATGATTGTTAACCTACTTTCTCAGTGCTTGTTGCTCAACGCTGTTATTTTTCACTGACTACCTAAATCAGGGCTCCAGACAAATAAATCAATAGATAACATTGAATTTTACATGAATGAAACAAGGCTGTGAGGGATAGATTTACAGTCTATATAATGGCATGTGCTGTATTCTAGATCACATGTCATTTTAAAAACACAACTTTCAAAGCTTTTTGTCTATTGAAAGTTTTTTGGAAAGATGTTTCGTCAAATGAACAATCTGTATGTTTTTAAACAACTGTACAATCCATTGAACACTTTACTTCTATCCATCAGCCTCATTTTCATTCCTTCATTTCATTCATTTCATTTATTTTAAGGTGTGACAAGAATAAACTGGCATTTTACATTTTTAAAACACTTTCTTTCAGTCATCCTGCCCTCCTTTTACAACATTTTCATTAATTTTTTCCCACTGAAACTTTGATGCGCAACGTCTCATTTTGTCAACACAACAAGTGAAGTCATAGGCAACTCTTCACAGAACACGCTAGTAAAAAGACATTACATGCAAATTTTTAATTCATAACGTGTATATTTAAATCGCCTTAGGCCCTGTAAATCTCGTTTGCGTGGTTTACATCTGTTTAGCACTGACCACATGTGATCAGACGACCGAGACGGATGTTAATACCAGGTGTAAACAGTTAAAAGACACCTACACCTCTAAGATCAGAGGCATTAGTTCACAGCAGGTGTGGAGGTGCTGATAATTAGCCTCTTCCTGAGAAAGTGGATTCTGCAAGCTATTCATAGCAGCCTCTCTCTCTCTGGTTTTCCATGTGCCTCGGCCAAGCTCAGAGAATGAATTCAGCTCAGTGTAATGAGATTGAGTATGACCAGGACAAGGGCACTGCTGTCAGAACTACACTATTCTCAGCGCTCTCTACACAATCTCTCATACTTTCCAGTGTTTGAAATCAAATCATGTACAGTGTCTAATTAACACTTTACTGACTGAAATGGAAGTCACTGTAATGACTGAAGTACTTCTATTTCTTTTGAGATTCCTACTTGAAGTTCACATGGGCGAACCACCACAGAAAATGTACAAATCAAGCTTATTTAATTGCATACAATTTATGCTTAAAGGGATACTTCACCTCTGGAAAGATGAATGTATATTTAAAATGGGTCATTTATGTAGAAGAAATGTGAAATTATTTTTGAATTTGGAGCTTTCTAGACTGAGAAAAGCCAGAAATTTTTTTTTTGGCTTATGTGGATGAAAGACAACAACTCCCAGAATGCACTTGCTTCGCTGCCCTAGGAGGCCACGCCTACCGGTAACAGAGCGCAGTAGTTAAACAACAAGTCTAGGCTACTAGTGAGTCTCCGTGATGAGTCTGCCCGAAAATGTGTTTCGAGATCGCCCAAAATGTCCGGGATTCGGCTTTTGCCTTCAACAGTCGCCATTCATTATGTTTACTGTGGCGAGCAGGACGAGTGAGGGCCGCGGGAGAACTGCGCGAGGCCGGTGGCGTGATTACCGATGAGCGACACCTGTGAGACGCACCGGTCTCGTATCTCTCACGGAGGAGCGGGAATTTTCCTAGCAATGTTAAAACGCACATCAACCGATCACTTGTTTAGCGCTCATGTAAACACTAAATTCAGATTCACCAATCGGAATGAATTCAGTTAGACTGAAACAAAAGGTGTGCATGTAAACAATGAATGGCGACTGCAGAAAGCAAAAGCTGAATCTCGGACATCGACGGCCGGACATGTCCGGGAAAAAGAGGATGAATGGTAACCCCTACTACTCAGCTTTCTCCACAGAACAAGAGCCTGCTAGCTTAGCTTCCCAAAAAAGATGGCCGACACTATGTGTACATTCTGTGAGTGAGATCCCACCCTCTATGGGCGGGTTGAAAACATGCGGGACAGCCCCTACTACTGACTGTAGTCTTTAGCCTCTGGCCAAAAAATCCTCCGATGACGCAAAATGACGAGGATTTTTTCCAGACAAAAAATACATAAATCTCTCATCTCAGGGGGATATGAGGGTGGAAAGCATGGTAATTCGAAAATACTACAGGTTTTCTACTAATACAAAGCTTAATGCTAAATCCTGAAGTATCCCTTTAAATATATGAATTAAGTACTTGGTTTCTTTTGTGTTCCATAGAGCACATTTCAATGTCATTTCAAGATAATGTGTATATTCCCTTCTAAAAGCAGGCTATGTAACGTTGTCGTACACTCCAAAAAGAGTTATTTAAATACACCTGAAGTAGTTTTGTGTTTCCAAACATCTCAGGTTTCTTTTTCACCTCTTGCGTTTTCTGTAGCGGACGGGAAATGTGCGCTCCACCTTTTTTAAAGACTGCCTCTACGAGGTGTTTGATGACCTGGAGTGTAAGATGGAGAACGTTGGGAAGCATCTCCTCCGCTCTGTGCTGCAGTTGATGGAGAGCGGTGCTCTGGTCCTCACCACCAACTTTGACAACCTGTTAGAGATCTACGCTGCCCACCAAGGGACCAAGCTGGAGTCTTTGGATCTCACAGATGAGAAGAAGGTACCTGCTATGTTTCCTAAACTTTAACTTTTTGATTTGGATTCAGTCAATCCATAAATTTAGCATCAATGAAAGAAGATACTTTAATAATCTAAACCAGGGTTTCCCAACTTTTTCTTTTTTTGCGACAGCACAGTTTTGATAAGTTAAAAATCCCACGGCACACCACTGAGCATTAAAATAGCAAAATTGCACAAACATGCATTGCTTCAAATGGCATATTAAAACTGGATATTATATTTAAAGTAGTAGGCTACTCACACTTAATGTGAAACTTGAGATATTCAGATATTAACACAATATGGACAAATAGGTAGCTATATCAGGGCTCCAGACTGCGATCAAATGGTAGCATTTTGCAACCCTTTTTTTCTGTCGGTGCGAATGAAGTTTTTTAGTGCGACCACTACATTGCCCAACTGATAAGAGCTGCCAATTCTGTTGCATATGAGAAAAAGCAAACGAAACCGGGCTATTAATGTGAGCTGCGCAGCACGGACCGTTTATCAGCTGAGAACAATAATCAATGCAGCGCGAGCTCAGAACAGTCGTTCTCGATCTAGCAACACCGTTACTACACAGTGCTGAGAGATCCAGTGAGAAAGCTTTTGAATTCACTGCAGAATTAATAACATTGCATCGAGATCTAGAGAGAGGCATTCAAATGACATGTCAAACAGTGTCTTGTGCCATGAATGAACAAGTTAAAGAAGGCTTTTCAGTCTACAAATCACCAACTCTCACCATGGATTTAATGTAGTAACGCTAACCATGGTATTGTGGTAGAAATAGTTGAATGCTTTTACATTATTCATTTCAGGGTTCGTACAACCCTTTTGAGAGAGAAATCCAAGCACTTTTCAAGGACTTTTAAGTGCTTCACGCTTTTTCCAGCACTTCAATCAAAGCTCTAAATATTATATCCATGACCAAAAAAGTATTTGTTCATCAATAAAAGATTGTCCCCATTTGTAAAAGATGTAGGAAAAACTAACATGTGGCAAACAATGTGGCTTTTATTTTAAAATAAAAATATATGAAATTACCAGTATAACCAGTAAATGGCGGCAGAGGAGCAATTATTGGCTTATTAGCCATTTCCACTGCCTAATAAAGTTTTTTTTAGTCACATATTTTGCTTTTAAAGTAACACTATGTAGTTTTTCAACCTTCATAATATATTTCCAAGACCCTTGTGATGGTACATCGACTTACAATAGGTTAAATGACACGTCTGCCATAGCCTGACGTGGTCTGTATCGCTTTTACTTGCACTATGTAACTTCGGGTTTCGGGTAGGAACCCGTGCACAAAAAGAACTACAAAACTCGACTGCTTTACGGCATACGTCACTTCCCCCACCACTTCCTCAAATTGTCTGTGGCCTGGGAGTCTCCCGCATATTGATAGCGTCTCCCTGATGCCCGCAAATTAGTTCAAATCTCCCGGAATCTAGAGCGCGCATGCGAGACAGAACATACTGCGCGCATAACATACATAGCGCGAGCACGGCAGAGAGGGAGAGAGCGAGAGACCTTGCGAGTGTGCCTCACGAAAGCTAGTCAACCCGCCACCCCCCCGTCAACAATCCAGTCACCAAGATATACCTCCCTGAAATGACTTCTTGCAGGTTGGGATGTCTGCCATTGTTGATTCCGAAGCCGGTGCTGGATAAACAGCGAGCGTGCGCGTGCGACAGTAGGCTGCGGTAGGCTAAATTATTTACGACAGCAGTAATGGACAATTCTGCTTCCAACCTGTAGGGAGACCGCTGAGGAAAAGTTACTTGGTGTTGCTTTAAAGTGATCCCTATTATAAAATATCAAATCATCAAGAAATACATTTTTTATCAAAGTTTGACACTCTTTGTACGTAAGTAGTCTAAAGTCTAATGAAAAACAGTCGGGCAGAAATCTCATGGTTTTTAAATAGCCTAATAACACACTGTGACATCAAAGTTGATATTGTGGCTTCATATATGGTCAGACATGCATGTGTCATTTATAATATTAACATTTTATTAAAATCAAGCTCAGTTTTTGACCAGCGAATGACAGATATTTTGTCTGTCATTGTAACGGCCACATCTGAGGCAGTAAGTGCATCGCATTATGTTTTTATCAACTTAAAGTTTATAAAGTTTATTGTAGCTACCGGTATGTGGGTGCTCAGTTTTTCTTGTTGTTGAATACATTTGGACAAAATCTCATGATATAAAAGATGACGTGCTATGCACAGGATAATTAAAACAGTATATTGGCTACAACTAGACGGCAAACACCAGACTAAGACTCTTCTCCACTATTTAAAGGGTTAGTTCGCCCATTTAAGACATGAAGTTGTATGCAATCCTTACCAGCACTATAGTGCATACACCCTGACCCACTCTGTTGTCACCTCCCTGGTCAGAGTTCTGGCCGCTGGAAGTTTTTCAATAAAGTACTCCCAGTTATTTTCCGGGGCCACAAAACTGTGCGTTTTTACGTGAATAAATGATTTGCGTTTCAAAGCTTGATTAATTTACCACACAAAAAACACACCGGTCAAAATTCATACCTCAGTTTTGATCGGCACTATTTTCTATCCATTTCTATCAATCCGCGCTGCTGCTGTCAACGTCAACAGTGCGCACGTTCAGATCAGCTGTTGATAGCGGGACTCGCTGACAACATGTCTGACTGCGAAACTTCTGATGATGAAACCAATTTTAGCACAATGTCAGACGGATCAGATGATGAAAGTAATTTTAGCACAACGACAATGTTATTGATTGCAACACAAAACCTCAATTGTGTGTGTGTTCAATCAAATAGTTTTCTCAGCAAATTGTACCAATATCTACTGTTTTTATATTAGACATCTTTTCACGCGTTTTATAATGGAGTCTAAACATCAGCTTGTTTACCGTACAGTTTAGACATGGGATCATAAAGTTAGTAAATAGAGCTTACCCGTGGTACTGGTACAGCAAAACTCTTTAATTTTCCTTTTCCTCCTTGGTTGTAATCGTCTTCGCTGAAGTGAGCACTACACTCACGAAAATCCTTTATTCTGGATATTTTAGCTCCCACAGAGTAGCCGATGGCAACCAGCCAAAGCTGTCTCATAGTTATATTCGAAACAGGAAAAAGATGGAATCTGAACTTTGATCCCGGCACATCGTTGTGGTCACAGCCTGGGAATTTACAAGTTCACACCATTGTTAATTTAATACTTTTTACGTCGTTGTCAATCGATTGTGTAAACACTACAGCAGATCGGAACGTGCGCACTGTTGACGTTGACAGCAGCAGCGCGGATTGATAGAAATGGATAGAAAATAGTGCCGATTAAAACTGAGGTATGAATTTTGACCGGCGTGTTTTTTGTGTGGTAAATTAATCAAGCTTTGAAACGCAAATCATTTTTTCACGTAAAAACGCACAGTTTTGTGGCCCCGGAAAATAACCGGGAGTACTTTATTGAAAAACTTCCAGCGGCCAGAACTCTGACCAGGGAGGTGACAACAGAGTGGGTCAGTGTGTATGCACTATAGTGCTGGTAAGGATTGCATACAACTTCATGTCTTAAATGGGCGAACTAACCCTTTAAATACAAAAAAAAGAAAGAAAAAGCTGTGTGGCCCTTCATTCATGATAGAGGTAGGTGGAGTTATGAGGTTTGACTGACAGTTTGAGGATCCAATGGAGATACGAGGACGTTTATTCACCAATGCCGGTTTTCTAATTCTTAAAAGTTGTGACTGGTCAATGGGATCTCAAAGTCCATCGGCAATGTGACATCATCATATAGGGCTCAATCATTTAGTCTATGAATTGCATTGTTTATTATGTTGCAGAGTGGAATTCCCCTCAGAGATAAATCAGTCACTGGCAGATACAAAAAAACATCTGAAGAAGAGATCATGAAGACTTGTAGAATAATACTTATCATCAGATCATCAGTTGCTTTAAGTTTAAACTAAAAATAATCAAATCAATTCGTAAAATTATGTTCTTCAGATGTTCAGGGCACTGGGTTCATCTCTGTTTGCTTTTGGCCATAAATTTCCTTCAGCACAAAGCAGTGAAAGCTTCAGCTATTAGCCATAAAATCAGCCTTATGGTCCCCGGCCAAGCGTCATGTAGTGCATTAGTGCATGTAGGCTCTACAGCAGCTCACCTGAAGGGCCCTCTGAAACACAAGTGACTGCATGTTCAGTTCTCTGTCTTTATTAATCAGGCCGTGTGTGGTTTTCCATACTGTGGCCTTTAGGCTGGGTGTTTATGCACCTTTTCCATCAGATGCCTCTTGATTAGAACCCCCAGTCATTAAAAGCAGCTGGACCTAGTGGGAACCGGATTGGGATCAGTGGAGTATGAAATGCTGCGGTGTGCATGTGTGTGCAGGTTCTGGAGTGGGCTCAGGAGAAGAGAAGACTAAGTGTTCTCCATATTCACGGTGTTTACACCAACCCCAGTGGTATTGTACTGCATCCTGCTGGCTACCAGAATGTTCTGAGGAACACAGAAGTCATGGTGAGTAAATGTTTTCTGCTCTCAGGAGAAAATAAAGTCACACCACTGGAAGTTGATAACTCACTGGGGTGAAGGACACAGTGAACCAAAGCATTCTGGTCCGAAGAGATACTCCCTTTTGTAGCAGTTTTTGTGGTTCTCTGTCCAGTCCTTGAACAAAAATGTTTTCACTTAAAATAAATTCAAATTAACATTTCCCATGTTTATTTAGTTAAACTAGATGTACTAAAATAGATCAAACTAAAACAAACAAAAAAAATAATACAGACATTTTTTTAATAATACCCCCCCCCCCCCCCCCCCCCCAACAACAATATTTCTAAAACGTTAAAATAAAATAAAAACTGAAGATGTATGTATGTAAAAAAATCTCAAAATAATACTAAAATAGCACTGCTCCAGTCTTCAGTGTCACATGATCCTTCAGAAAGCATTATAATTAGTGGTAGGCATAGATTCATTTTTTAAATCTAGATTAATCTCACTGTAATCTTGGAATTAATCTAGATTAAAATGGCACATTTGAATTCTGCCGAAGGCATTCAGAATATGTGCGCTACCCAAATAATGACTAAAAGTAAGTCTTTGAGAACAGGTTTCTCAAGCCAGGTGGCGCATTAGATCAGGGGCTCATCTCCTGTTTCCAAAATGCATCACAAACTGCTTGAGAAAGCTGTTCTACTATGATAATTGGTATCATTGCTAACAAAGTAGTTTGACGACGACTCTTCCCCTGCGCTACATCAGTGCTTGGCCCGGCATCTTCCGCATTAGCTAAGGGATGCTTTGCGTTTAGGTGGTACTTGAGACTGGAAGAACTCCTACAGTAAACTAATTCCGCATTGCACAAGGTGCAGTCCAGGTTTCTTAAAGGGTTAATTCACCCAAAAATGAAAATTCTGTCAGTAATTACTCACCCTCATGTTGTTCCAACCCCGTAAGACTTTCGTTCATCTTCGGAACACAAATTAAGATATTTTTGATTAAATCTGAGAGCTGGATCACTCCTCCATAGGCTTCTTAAGGGATCGAAACTGGCCGGCCCAAAAGTTATGAAAGACATCGTTAAAATAGTCCGAGTGACTACAGTGGCTCTACCATAAGTTTATCAAGCGACGAGAATACTTCTGTGCACAAAAAAACAAACAAAAATAACGACTTTATTCAACTATTCATTTCCTTCTCTGTGGACCTCGAGATTTCATGTAGTGAAACTACGCAAAGCTTCTAGGTTGCACGTCACACATAGGCTCACTATTGGCCGACGCTGGTCATGTGTGTGATGCGTGTGACGTACAACCTAGAAGCTTTGCGTAGTTTCACTACGTGAAATCTCGAGGTTTCAATTATCAATGTTGCAGAGTTGTGCTGCTTCATATTCTCTGGAAACCGTGATAAATTTTTTTCAGGTTTCTTTGACGAATAGAAAGTTCAAAAGAACAACATTTATTTAAAATAGAAATCTTTAGAAACAGATGAAAAGTGACAGTAAAGACCAGTGTTGGGCAGTAACGCGTTACTGTAACGCAGTTACTTTTGATAGTAACTCATACTGTAACGCATTACTTTTTAAATAAATTAACTCCGTTACCATATGGTGCGTTTGTCCATTACTTTTTTTAATTAATTCATTTTGGCTGAAGTGTAGCCTACAGCCTAACCTGTTTACAGCAGCAACGCATTGTTGGTGGTAGGGTTGCCACCCGTCCCTTAAAATACGGAATTGTCCCGTATTTACAAGTAAAATGACGCGTCCGTATCAAATCATTAAGGGACGCGATTTGTCCCGTATTTTACATAATGCCCACACATAGCCTAGTTGGATGAAAACATAGGCTTTACTATACTAATAGCAAATAGCCTATAAATAAATCAATTTCACAATAATGTTACATTATGATTAGAATCAAATGAATTCTGTCCATTTTCTAAGCTTAGAAAATGCACATTTATACGGGCTGAATTTTATAGGCCTAAAATAAATATTGTTTAGTAATTATGTGAATTACACTGCGCAAACTACTACCCACCGAATGAAAAAGGGTTGGCTCTCAGTCTCCACAGAACAAAATATTCTTCTTTTTTTTTTTTTTTTTGTTCGCATTTATGAGGAAAAAACTATTTTACGGACGTGACAGTTCTCCGTTACGGACGCGACGCGCTCTGAAAGCGGCACTAAAAGATGCTTTAATACTTGCAGAGACAGCACAAAATCTTTCTTTAAAGTGAATTTCGTTTTGTATTAATTGCATCTTAATTTTAATCAATGTTTCATCAACCAATTGCCTGGATTTAATAAATAAGAAGTAAATATAGCAGACGATAGATAATCACGAAATGGAGGCGCCGGCACGTAAACTGGAGCTCGTCTCATAAATGAACCGAAACTCGGCGTATAAGGTAACCTACTTGCCTCACAGACATGTCTACTTTTAAACAGAACAATTCAAAACGAAAGAAAACAGACTACAGACTGCTCTCTGCTTATGTAATCCGTATGAAATGTGCATTTCTCTCTGGCGCATCTACAGCGAAGATCGCGAGTCAGCATAGTGAGTCACTTCAGAAATCCTTGTGATATATTCAGTTTGTGCTGGTCTGACTCAAATAAAATATGGTTTAAAAATTACTTTCTGTTTAAGTCAGTTTTGTGTTTGTATAGACCATAACGCATAAAAGGGCATTAATGGGAACATTAAAGAATTTGTTTTTTAAAGTAACTAAAAAGTTACTTTTAACAGTAAGGCATTACTTTTTGGTGCAAGTAATCAACAAAGTAATTGAGTTACTTTTTGAATGAAGTAACTAGTAACTGTAACGACTTATTATATTTAATGTGTCCTTGCTGAATAAAAGTATCAATTTCTATAAAAATTAAAAAAAACTTTTCAATGTAATAAAAGCATTATTAAAGTCATAATTCTCTGAAATCTTCTAGGGAGTAAATCCCTTTATTTATTTATTTATGTTTTTTTTTTTTCTTCTCTCTTGTCATTCTTCATATTGACTATGTTTCATATTATATGTTTCATAACTGCTGTCGAGCCTTTCATGTTTAAAGAAAACTTGTGGACTATGCAAACGTGGAATACTGGATTTCTTCACTGTCACTGCTGGGAAATACCCCCTTTTTTTTTTTAAAGCTGTAGGGGGGAGGGGATGGGAAGTTGTAATTGTAACTGTTAAAAACCCAATAAAGAAAATATACAAAAAAATATATATAATAATAATTCTCTGAAATCCTCCTCCAGTGAGCTGTTAACCCTAGCAGCCCTCTATTTCAGCATTATATGAAGTTTATATGATAAAAGCAGCATAAAATAATATATTGATGGTCAATCATGTAACACATTTTTTTTGTCTGATCAGTTAATTTATTCAAAAATGCATAAAAAAAAATTCATACATAGTCATTTGAACACCCATCTTCTATGATGTGCATGTTTTAATTTCTGAATTAAAATTCATTTAGATTTTTTTTGGTTGTTGAAGTGGAAAGTCCACCAAATCAAAGTCATGTGGTGAGATTAACTTGCATAATTAAAAAATAAAATGAATGATAATAATTTATGAATTAATAATTCATGATATAAATAAATACTTTTTACCTTGAAAGATATATTTCATGTTTTTTGAAAATAAACTTTTATTGAAAATGCTATAAAAGTTTTTCAAAACCAAATGAAATCATCATGAACTTGTTTTGAATTAGAACTAACTTTTTTTTGTCTGTTATTTCTCGGTGATCCTTAAAATGTGTCTGCCATCACTCCATAACGTCAGTTCTAATATCGTTTTTGCAGAGGGAGATCCAGAAACTCTACGAAACCAAGTCTTTTGTGTTCCTGGGCTGCGGGAGGACAGTGGACGACACCACCTTCCAGGCACTGTTTCTCGAGGCGGTCAAGCACAAGTCTGACCTCGAGCACTTCATGCTGGTGCGGCGAGAGGACGTGGGCGAATTCAAAAAGCTTCGAGATAACATGCTGGACAAAGGCATTAAGGTCATTTCGTACGGCAACGAATACGCCGACCTGCCGGAGTACTTCGAGCGGCTGGCCAATGAGATTTGCAACCGGGATGTGGACCGGGACGTAGTGACCAACGGTTGGGGTAAGCTTGGGCTTCACTTTTAAGACACGTTATATACAAAGTTTGAGGTTTTCACCTATTAATTTGCTTGATTCGTTCAGGATCTCCCATCTCACGAGGCGAAGAGAGTCAAAATGGCTTTACCACCCAGAAAAACCTCCAGCAAGGTTAGGACAGCTTTTGTGTTGTTGCCTGGCTTGCATGCTAAAGGCAATTTGGGCATTTGACTGGAGCATGGCGACGCCTTTTCTCCTCCTTATCCCTTCTTTCCTTAAATGCATGCTTCTAGAACGATAGAATCATAGAACGCAGCACAAGGGCTGCTGTTATTTTAAACTCACTAACTACACCTTTCCACTGTACTCTTCTGCTCTTGAGCCCATGTGCGCTGTGGCTTCCTGTGATGAAATCAGCTGATGCTTCTGTTGTAATGAGATCTTCATTGTAGTTCTTCCTGTCTCTCTGTCCAGACTTCCACTCGTGACACAAGTGGCAGTCTGAGAACATATCCACAGCTCCGCCGCACAGGTCTGGTATGACTAGATCTTCACGCACAACAGACTCCTTTCTCATACTTAAACCGAGCGGCGTCAGTATCGGTTCGCTTCACACGGGAAAGGCGTCTGTAAAAACACCACCAGGCAAACTGTGAACTCCTGCAACTCAGAAAATGTTTATGAAAGTCTTCATGTGAGTGAAGGAGAAATTTGTGGATTTTTATTTTATTTTATTTTTTTTATGTGGTAATTAAAGTGTGGTCCAAGAATGATGTTCAGGGCCAGTCTGATCTTAAACATGAGCGGTCAAATGAAGTGGTTTCTCAGTTCCCATTTTTCACGTCATCAAATGCACCGGCAATATTTAATTAGTGACTGAGCCTCACAAAATAAATATCCATGGGCATTTTTCATCCCAAAATGAAAAGGGACATAAAAAAAACAAAAAAACAAACAAATCACGCTTACAAACACTATATAGTACACTACTGGTCAAAAGTTTGGAATATATAATTTTTTTTTTATCAAGTCATGCTCACCAAGGCTTTTATTTTTATCAAAATACAGTATATAGTAATACTATGAAATATTATTACAATTTAAAAGAACTATTTTCTATTGTATTTTTTGTGTGACACTGAAGACTGGAGTAATGATGATGAAAACCAGCTTTGCATCACAGGAATAAATTACATTTTAAAATGTTCAAATAGAAAAGTTATTTTAAATTGTAATATTTCACAATATTACTGTTTTTACTGTATTTTTCATTAAACATTTTATTATTTTTTTGCCTTGGTGAGCATAATCTTTCAAAAACATTACAAAAAATCTTTATTCCAAACTTTTAACCCTCTAGTATGTGTACATGTGTGTTATTGGTTGAAATATGACTCAGGGCATTTCTTTTACAACTAAATCTGCATTTCAGCTTCCATGAATCTACTTGAACTTATCACGAGACTGAGGATAATGATATAATGCCATAATTCCTCTCAAGCCACACAACTTTCAATACATTTTATTGCACTTGGACAGTTAGTTCCCATTTATAATCTTAAATGCTTGGCCAGTAATGCTAAAAAAAAAAAAAGTAAACAGTTGTTTATAAACTTTTTGTATTTTAACTCCAGTGGACCACTGTTTAAGCATCTCTGTCCACAAACGTCTTAGGTATTTATATGCTATTTTAAAATAAAACATCTGTTTGGTACCAAATGTGTTGTCATTACTGAAAGCAAATAGAAACAGGGATACATCCATCTTACTTTTTACACCGTACGAGTGGATGCGGCCATTTGTAACTTTCTTCTAGTTATCTATAGCGGCTGATGAATCGGACTCACACATTCACTGAAATAAGCGTACTTTTGCATAGCACTATATGGTGAGAGAGAACAGCGCTTACTACAACTCCTGACGAAAGTTTTATTTGAAAACTGCGTGACTGCTCCATCACAAACATAGTCAGATGATTCTCACCCTGATGGATTTGAGTATAACGATTTAAACCGGTAATTTTTTTTTACTGATTCATAAGACTTCAGGGAATAACTCCTCATCATCAGTCATGCTGTACGTTTGCTTTTGCAATGCAACAGGCATGTCTATTTTTCTTACTTCTTTCGAAATGTGGTGAACATACCAGTACTGTTCAGGAAACAAACTCCCAGCTGCCTACCAAACAAAACAGGTCATTACAGGCTATTATAGCAGCTTTATTTAAGAAATATTACACATTCTTAAAGTACAACAAATCTTCTCGATGAAGCTCTCCAGTCTTGCCATTGTGCTAGCGCAAATTAATATGAGAATTAAAACCTGACTTTGTTCTAAAATAAAAGCATGATGGGATCTGAAAGAAAAGAAAACGACAGTACAGTTACTAATGAATTAATACAAATGTAACTTTGTAGGGGTTCAGATAGTTTGGTATACGCAGCATTCTACAACTCTTTGCTGAGGTGCCTCTCTCAGACCTTTAAACCTCAAGCACCAAATCGTTCAATAACTTTTAATAACTTTCATATCGAGTGACATGAAAAGCCTGAGTAAAAAAGGAAGAATGAGGAAAGGCAGTTTTGGGAACAACTGCGAATGTAATGAGCTGAGGCACTATGGTAGTGAATTCTTGAGACAGTTTGGGGTGGCTGGACATCTTCTGAATGTACCTACATTAAATCAAATAAAAAGTAGACAAAATACATTTAGAATATATTAGATTTCTTTTATAACATTGTTTCTTCTTTTGCGGGCGCATGAGAACACTTGATCGTAGCGAAGAGAGGCGGAAAAGTGCAAAAATACTTTCCTCATCTCATTCTCATCTTGAATGAAAAGATCTAAATGAGCATTTGAAGCTGCTGCTCTCTGATTGGCTGTGTTGCATGTCAATCAAAAATGGTTGCTGAGGTGAGATCAAGTCAAATGTTATTTCTTCCACTCATTAAACTGAATCAAAACACTTTTTTTCCAGGAACAAAACACAAGAGGGCTCCTAAATATAAACTGAATTTCAGTTAAACCTGTAGTAAACCAAAACAACACATAGGCTTGTCTGCATTCACAGGAAGCTGAGAGGGGTAGCTGTAGCGAGGTGGTGTAGCTCAGGCCTTCATGAGCGCGCTGACCACAGCCCTGGCGTTGAGGCTGCGCAGATCGCTGTACGTCTGCCCGGTGCCCACAAACACGATGGGCTGACCCGTGATGTAGGTCATGGAGATGGCAGCGCCCACCTGCAGGACACATGGGAAGTTCTTAACCAAGGTTCATTTCACAAGAACGTAAAACTTAAGGATTCAAACTGTCATACCTTGTCATCGATGGTGTCGAACTTGGTGAGAACAATGCCATCGATAAGCCTGGGTTTGTCAGTCTTGGAATGATCAGCCAGGGCTTGATTAAATTTCACCTACAAAAATGCAGTAAACAGACTGAATATTAATATTAACAGATCTGAAATGTGTGTTATGAATGTCAGGACTGGTTTCTGACATCGACTTCCCACATTTAAGTGGATCCAATAGAAACAGAACATATCAGGATGACCTAAAAATGGGTGGGGCTTAGCAGGCCAGACACGGTTTGTAATTGGTTGAATTATCCTGCTTTTCCTTGTGTGTTCAATTTAACGAATTATTAAAGGCTATCAATAGGATTATTATACATGTAAGTTGCCATGTGGAATCTCTCAAGGTTTATTTATTTATTTGATTAAAAATACTATAAAAACAGCAATATTGCTAAATATTTTTTACAATTTAACAATTAGAATGAAAATATTTTCACTTAAAATAAATTAAAATGAACATTTCCCATTTTTATTTAGTTAAACTACCGGTAGATGTACTAAAATGAATTAAAAAAAAAGAATACTACAGACATTTTATAACCCCCCCTCAACAATATTTCTAAAACGTTAAAATAAAAATAAAATTATATATATATATAACTCAAAATAATACTAAAATAGCACTGCTCCAGTCTTCAGTGTCACATGATCCTTCAGAAAGCATTCTAATATACTGAACATTTCTGATTATTATGAATGTTGCAGAGTTGTGCTGCTTCATATTCTCTGGAAACCGCGATACATTTTTTTCAGGTTTCTTTGATGAATAGAAAGTTCAAAAGAACAACGTTTATTTAAAAACAGTTTTAACGTAATAAAAGCAGCAAAAGCCTCATTTAAGTCATAATTCACTGAAATACTCCTCCGGTGAGCTGTTAACCCTTGAACCATCAAGCGCCCCCTAGTGCAAGAACACTTTTTGTCTCCTAGTTATTAACCAGAAACATACAATTTGAACAGACTGGCGCTTTTTTCCCCAAGACACATAACAGCTTAAAATCATGCGTGGGGTAATACGGATGTATTAGAATAAAACGTGTAAGTGTTTTGGGCTTGTGTTTACCACAGACCTTATTTCAGCCATTTAACCAAAACTCCATTCGGACGAGGGAACCGGAAGTGCTAAAATGCTAACTCACTTCCGCATTTTGGCCTACGCATCATACCTGCACCACTCTATACAACACTATAAAGCAGTGCCACCTATAGACTATATCCGGCATTACACCTACCAGCTGATCCACAGCCTCATTGCCCACCAGTGCTTCTCCCACAAACAGGACCAGGTCCGGGGTGTTGACGGCGATCAGCTTCGCCAGAGCCGTCATCAGAGGGGTGTTGTCCTGCATACGGCCAGCTGTATCGATCAACACCACTTCAAAACCCTGGTTACGAGCTGGAGAAAGAGATACGTTAACCAATGAGTCCTTGGAAAGGTTTCATGTCTTTCATTAAAATCACGTGGGGTTTACCAAAGGCAATGGCTTCCATGGCGATCCCAGCAGCGTCCTTGCCGTAACCCTTCTCGAAGAGCTGTACGGCGGGGCGTCCCGCGTGTTTCTCCGGCGGGTGCAGAGCGTTCAGACGCCGCTGGTGAGTCCTCAGCTGCTCCACCGCACCCGCGCGGAACGTGTCGCACGCCGCGATGAGCACAGAGAAGCCGTTCTCAATCAGCCAATAAGAGATCTGTACAAGAAGAAAAAGGCACATGACCGTTAGATTCGATTCAATATGCTGATTTACTGCTCAAGAAACATTTGTTATTATTAGCAATATTGAAGACAGTTTTCGCTGCTTAATGTTTTTGCGGAAATTGTGATGCACTACCATTAAAAATAAAACAATAAATGAATTAATTCATACTTTTACTCAGCAAGGATGAATTAAATTGATCAAGTGGCAGTAAAGAAATGAGTAATGGTGCGAAAGACTTTTTCAAATAAATCCTGTTCATTAAACGATCTATTCATCAAAGAATCTGGTTTCTACAAAAATCTGTTATTTTATCATCAATAATATATATATTTTTGTGGTAACACTTTACAATAAGGTTCATTAGTTAACATTAGTTAATTAACCAACTAACATGAACTAACCATGATCAATACATTTGTAACAGTATTTATTAATCTTTGTTAATGTTAGTTAATAAAAATACAGTTGTTCATTGTTTGTTCATGTTAGATTAAAAGTGGTAACAAATGTTAACTGATACAAACTTTGATTTGAATAATGTATTAGTAAATCTTGAAATTAATATTAACTAAGATTAATAAATGCTGTAGAAGTTCATTCTTAACATTAGTTAACATGAACTAATGAAAACTTATTGTAAAGTTTTACCATTTTTTGTTAATATAAATATTGTTTTTACTTTTTAACATAGATAATAAAAAACAATTAATAATTTAACACCGATAATAATTGAGCAGCAAATCGGCATATTAGAACGATTTCTGAAGGATCATGTGACACTGAAGACTGGAGTAATGATAATGCTGACAATTCAGCTTTAATGATCAAATTAATAATAATTTGGTACATTTAAATAGCACTTTTCAACAAAAGCTTTCCAGGTATTCCAGACCTTAAATTTCTACAAGCACAGTTTTTTAAACAAAAAACTGACTTCACCTTGGCGAGGTTGGTGGACTTGCCGACGCCGTTGACCCCACAGAAGGTGATGACGAAGGGTTTGCGCTGAGATCGAGCGTCCAGCACGTCCCTCAGGATGTCCACACGCCGCTTGGGCTGCAGGATCTGCACCAGAGAGTCCTGTAGAGCCTGCTTTACTGTAGAGGCCACAGCTGGACAGGAGACAGCAGAGGAACATTTACAACACCATCCAGGAAGACCAGGAAGCAAGAGAAGAGACATGCACTCGAGGTGCTGGCGTGAGAACGTGCACATGTCTGTGGGAAGGCTCTTGTTTGGACGGGCTGTTCAGCAGGTGTGTGTGTTGTACTCACTGGTGAAAGTGCCCATGACTTTGCCTTCCAGCTTCTTGGCCACAGACTCACAGAGCTGGGAGGATATTTCAGCTGCTACATTCTTGGCTAGAAGAACAAGAGACAAAATTCAAATTGCAGCTAGCTTGATCCAGTTATAAATGTAGGCAGGGTTATATTTCAATTTAAGCTGTCCTTGTTACAGACAGGGTTAGTTGCATGTAATTATGCATAATTTACTGGTTTTATACATGCAATTTTGTTTATTAACCGCTAGAGACACCAAAAGTTACATAGTGCACCTTTAAATTATTTATTTTAACTACATTTTTATTATACTTTTTTTCTACCTATGTTACTGTACTGTTCGATGTATCATTTTTTTAAATCAAATTTTATTTTTATTTATTTAAATCAAATGTTTAAATCAAACATTTAAATCAAATGTTATTTATTTTACTCACATTTTAATTAACATTCAACTAATTTTTATTGTTTTTTATTTACTTATATCAATATCTATTTATATTATTTTTTATTAATTTAATCACCATTTAATCAGATTTTTCTACCTATAGTCCTGTAAGAGCGATTTACTATTTTTATTATTAAAATCTACTTTCATCATATTTTTTCCATTTGTTTTCTACCTTTTCAACCTTTATTCTACCTGTACTTGTAGATGTATTTATTTATATCAATTATTATTTATTTTAATATTTTTTATTAATTTAATCTGTTTATTTAAACACATTTTGTTTCACCTTTTTCTACCTATATCCCCGTATTGTTGGATGTATTTATTAATATACATTTTATTTTTTATTTATTTAACTCAAATTCTTATTAACTTTAATTTTTATTATACTTTCTCTACCTATAGTACAGTTTTTTTGGATGCATTTAATATATCAATTATTATTTAAAGAGGTCTTTATTATATCATATTTTTATCACATATTTCTCTGCCCTTTTCAACCTATAATACCTGCATTTTTACTTCTTCATTTTTACCCTTTTATTTAATTGAATCCTTTTATTTTTATTTATTCTAGTTAACATTTTTACACTGTTTTTCTGTAATCTTTTACACAAATTCCCTAGCACACCTTTGTGTAATTTAATATGTTAGTAGAAATTTAACTAGAAATATGTACAGTCAAAATCAAAATGTCTCATTCATTGACTTTTCCAGGCCTGGAAAACACCATCTAAAAAAAAATCTCAATATTTTATTTTATTTAATAACCTCAATATTTCCAGTTTGTCCATGACTGTAGGAACCCTGTAACAATTTCATTAAAAACAAATTGTAAACAAGTGTATTGAATGAGGTGCCATGGAGCAAGAGCGATGTCATACCAATAAGGTGGTCCCTCATCTTGTCCAGAACTGGCTCCATGTCCTCCTGAGTCAGGTTCTTAGATCCCACCAGGCCTTTCAGCATCCCAAACATTCCCCCAAAACCACTCTTTTTAGCTCTGCAGAGAAACACACACAGAATCACTATCTAAGGATTCAAACCAAGACACATTCAGTAAGTTCAGATGAAGAAATTGAGTGTTGAAAGAACAGAATCGAGATTTTAAAATGTTACCCTTTCTTGTTAGTGTCTGGCACCACAACTCTCTCCTCCTCCACTTCTTCATCCTCATCCTCATCCTCATCTGAGGACTCATAATCGACACCCCTCAGGTCACCTTTCATTGAATCCACCTGGATCAACTGAGAGGAACACAGACAATTTCATCTGCAATTCATTTAAAAGTGTTAAACCACCCTAAATGAAACTTTTGGGAGCCTATAAAGGGATAGTTCACCCAAAAATCATTCATTACTCTCTCGTCATTCCAAACTCGTAACATTTTGAGGTGAACTATCTCTATAATATCGAATATGAAGAATTTGTGCATGCTAGAAAAAAGACGGTGCAGTGAATTTGAATACATTTTTTAATAGGAGTAAACCTGGGAAGAATGGCATCTACGCTAATATTAGTCTCTTTACTGTAGTCAGCCGGATCCGGGCCGTATCCAGATCAGATGAAGGACCTGCACCTGGACACGACCACATTACAGACCTGAAGTATCAGCAGAGACCGTGTCAACTAGACTATACCCTGCGATACCCTCATCAACACGGCAGAAGTTCACAACAAACGTTTTTTCCTCTGTACAGATGAAAACGTTATCAAAATAATTTCCCATTCACACAGATCCACGGAAACGACTAAAAACGCTGTATTATGCATGCCGGACAAGTAATTGGCAATGTCACTTTGTAAAGAAAGTCTACGCGCACGTGCATATCTATAGACTAAACACGTAATACGCATTGTGTCACAGATTCACGTTTCTGAAGTTTAAGTGGAGATGACATAGCTTTCAAAACCCGTTTTCAAAAACTACTTCAAAGTTTGCGCTCTCAGGCCACCAAAACACCGTTGTCGAGTAAATGAACAGCCAGAAGGCATTCAAAGTTTTCTGTTTTCAGTTGAAACCGGTATCATGTAAGCGGCCCCCAAGTTAATTTTTACAATGGAAATGAATCAATCCAAGACTTACTTAAGCTAGACAATGGCTTTCTTCAAGAGCTGCTGTACAGCCACAACAATCTGTGTTGCAATAATTTCCTATTATCGCTTTGAAACAATCTGTATTGTAAAAAGCGCTATATAAATGACCCAAACCCTAAAAATCTGGACTGCTCACCGGTTCAGCTGAGGCCTCATGGTCTTGTGTCTGAGCGTCACTGTAGTTGTTGCCATTGCTTCCACTGTAGTCCAGATCTCCAGTGTTCCTCCCACCCATATCCCACACCCGCTTGGCCTTCCCCTTTGGCTTCTGGGGTTTAGGGGACTTACTGTGAAATAAAACAGCAATAAAATCTTTAAAGATCAGGAGAGTTTATTAAAGCATTTTTTTGATCATATTCAGTGAAATCGACACTATAATCCGACAGAACAACATAAATAAAGTGGTTTTAGAAAAAAACCCGAGCTTCTAACTCCACCTGGAGCGTGTTATTTGTTTTGCAAGAATCCACAGCTCCCGGATCATCGGGTCCAATCAGCGCAGCGCATGTCAATCACAGATCGGGCACACGCCACCCCTCGCGCACGTTACCATCACACGCACACGCCTGAAGTTCGCGGAAGTTCGCGCAGTAACGAAGAGTGATGGCGGAAAATCAAGTAAGCTCATTTAGAGTATAAATGACGTTAGCAATTGCAATCTATCGGTAGATTAGCCAGGACAGCATACCTCCAAATACTCCATGGTGTTGATGGATGCTGATGAGACGGGCGCGTTCACAGATAACCTGGTGCACACGCACTGACGAGCACGAACTCGGTGCGAGGGTATTCGTTGATAGTGGGGGAGGGGCATGAGAGTTGTAAACATTCAAAATTTTGCCTAAGTCCACTCAATCTGCCAGACTTGCCGACTGCAGCTTTCAGGAAGCTTGTTTCGGACATGAAATAAAACAAATTTAAAAGATAATTGCGACTTTTTCCCCCCTCAGAATTGTGAGATATAAAAATTGCAATTGCAAGTTATAAAGTCCAATTCTGATGAGTCCAAAGTGCATTTGTGCACTGACTTTTTTCCTCAAACTTGCGACTTTTTAATCACACGGTTCTGCAGAACTGCTAGATGTAAACTCGCAATTGCGAGAAAAAAGTCAGAATTGTGAGATGAAAAAGTCCCAATTACCTTTTTATTTTCTATTCTGTGGCGGAAACAAGCTTCCATAGTTTATTATAACCTTGCTTCTGTTGTCAAAGTAATCGGATGGAATAATGTAGTGTAGAACTCAACTTGAGGGTTAAAGTGCAAGTCATTTAGTGATCTGTGATCAAAAGTGGCTTCATCTGCAATGCATTTTCACACAGTTCATCATGTCTCCTATCTGGTGGTCTTCTCTGGTTTTCCCCCACCCAACTGCTCAAAAGTGGCTTCATCTGCAATGCATTTTCACACAGTTCATCATGTCTCCTACCTGGTGGTCTTCTCTGGTTTTCCCCCACCCAACTGCTCAAAAGTGGCTTCATCTGCAATGCATTTTCACACAGTTCATCATGTCTCCTACCTGGTGGTCTTCTCTGGTTTTCCCCCACCCAACTGCTTGCTGATGAACTTGGCACGGTTCCTCTCAATAATCTCCTCTGCGGTCAGACCGTCACCTCCATTCTCCACAGTCTTTTTAGAGCCCGTCTGTGAAGCAGCTTTAGTCTGATCTCCTCCTGAGAATAGATGAAAAAGAACGAAACCGTCACACTAACAAACTTATAAGCACTGAAAGCGCCACTTACTCCCCACTGCCCTGTCTTTCACATTTCTCACCTTCCTTCTTGGCATTTTTACTTTTCTTGCCTCCTTGCTCCTTGCTTTTGTCTCCATCCTTCGTCTCAATCAAAGACTTCACAGTTTTCTGGGATTTCTGGGACTCTGTGAAATTCTTCATAGGGGCGGGGGCCTTGGCTTTGCTGCTGTCCTCCGCCTCCCTGCAAAAATTGTAATCTTTTATTTAAACTAGTAGTACGGTAGTCTCTTCTGGTTACCAAGGCTACATTTCTTTTATCAAAAATACACTAAAAAACAGTAACATTGTGACAATTTAAAATAACTAAAGCAAGTATATTTTAAAACGTCATTTATTCCTGAGATGCAAAGCTACATTTTCAGCATCATTACTCCAGTCCTTAGTGTCACATGATCCTTCAGAAATAATTCTAATATGATGATTTGGTGCATCAAGAAGAATTTCTTATTATTATTAATGTTGAAAACAGTTGTGCTGCTTCATATTTTTTGTGGAAACCATGATACATTTTTTAAAAAGATTGTTTGAAGAAAGTTCAAAAGAACATTTATTTGAAATACAAATCTTAATCAATTTAATTCATCTTTGCGGAATAAAAACATTAACGTAAAATATATTTTGGATAGGTGCAGCTCTGTAAGTGACAGCAGCCAGTCAAACCTGCTACTGTCTTTGTTTAAACGTTAATAAAACAACAATCGCTGCTCTTGGCTGAATAACTTTTTTTTAGGTCAATAACATTGAAGACAATAACTAGGCCTATTTTATTTTTTATACTTTTTTGTGGTGGGGCCAGTGAAAATCTTGGCAGGGCACATAAAATTTTTTAGTGTTGAGCCCTGTATACCTGAAAAAAATATTTTGATTCAAAGGTTTACTCTTAAGGGTGTGAAATCAGTTTTGCAGACAAAAATACATTTAACAAAAAAAGAATAATTCTGACAGCCATTCATATCTATCGACCCAGGAAAAGGGTATTTTCTCACCGTAGAAGATTGTGGAAGTCCTCTCCAAACTCAAAATTATTGAGCAGAAACTTTAGGGCACCTCTCTGCCCCAGCTCATTCTTGTATCGATCTCTGAACTGAAGCTGGACATCATCTATGAACTTATCCACGTATTTCAGCGTCAGGATGTTTTGAAAACCCACCTGGGACACCAGAAGCACACGATCAGGCATATGGACGGTTGAGCCATGGGACACTGACTGAACTTTATTCGCACTGAAATTTTTTAATAAAACTCACCACAAACACAAGCTCAAACTCATTGTCCAGCTTGTATTTAAGACTGATGCTATTGTGGTTGAAAGAGTTATTCCCACTCCTCTCCTGCAAACAGAAAGATTAAGATAAGATTCCTCCTACAAGTCATTTCTTTAAAGAAGTCATATGTATATTTTTTTCTTGAAAAAAAAAAAAATACTATTTACAATTATGAATGTATGCAAGGAGTAATAGCACTAAAATAGTTATAAACTAAACATGAAAGGTGTCTATATTCAGCTCTCTGTTTGTCTAAGCTGGCATGTGCAGTATTACGCAACGCATTTGACTGTCCAACATGTACAATCCAAAACTAAAACTCAGATGCCACCTATTGCATCATCTGTAGGTCAATATTCGTGCTCTCTTACATCATCTAACATAGTTCCCATAGTAACCTGCCTACATTACACCCTCACAGCCTAACTAACCCATGTGTTAGCTGGGCTAAGATGGCGATATCTGCCCTGCCTATATAACGTTACTGAATTAAACAATAATCCACAGCAGGCCGAGCAGGGACTTTACCTGGAGGATGACGGAGCGGATGAGAGCGTTGACAGGCCCGGTAAAGGATTCAGAGACTCCGGCCCCCTGGAAACACCACAACACGATTCCCCCTTTACTGAAGATGGCGAAGAAGTCCAGCATCTTTGCCAAACACGAAACAACCCAATTCTAGGTTAGGAAAGAACAAACAACGTTCAACAAAAACGAAAACGTGTAAAAAAAATAAATTAGTACTCCAAAGTTGCCCTGCGCTTGAGTTAACGTGCACACGCAGTGCTGCCTGCCGTGAGAATCAACACTCAACTCACGATCAGACACGTCAGTGGCATAATGCGGAAATGATGTAACTTCCGGCTCATATGAAGTATTTCTTTTACTGAAGTATTTGGCATTTTTTTGTGCGATTTTCTTTTATATATGAAGATGTACTTTTTGGTATTTTAAATTATGATAAAATTTTGAAAAACGAGGCATACATTGTTAATCTTGTGATTGATATCTTTTTTATCGCGGTAATTTCAGTAATCAGTAACATTGTTTTTCTCTGAGGTGCTTAAGGAATTATAAAATAGTAATGTAATATAATACAATATAGATATAATATAGTGATATAACTATATATAGTTATCATGTAGTATTTTTATATTTATATATGTAATTGTTGTTTATGCATTTATAAAAAAAATCAGGGCTTAAAGTTGCACTCTTAATTTTACATTTGATCGAATTTATGGATTCATATTAGATTAACAAAATCCAGATTTGTGTAATTAATAAATTAATTACTCTTAATAAAATATTTTATTTATAAAAAAAATTTTTTAAACTAGGTGCGTACGTCTAAAAGTACATTTTACTAATATACTAATGCTCCAATTTTTGTTTTTGTATCAATATTTACATATTATACGAACGGTCTATTATACATGTGTTTTCACATGGTTTTCAGTCACGGATAGTGTGCATTTTCACGTTTCTGTTCACAAACGTTTGTCTCAAGGGACCTTTATTTTTCCAGAAACATCACTTCCGCCTGGTCTTTAATGTCTGGTTTCTGTTTTCCCCCTGCTCAGTTGGCAAGATGGCGTCGGAACCGAACAAGACAGAAATTCTAACCATTTTTAAACGTTTGCGCTCTATACCTACAAACAAGGTAACACGTGAGGTCTTATTAAAACCTACCTGTGACTGTTTTCATTATCGTTATAACTTATTCAGAGACATCCTTATGTGTGTTTCATTTGGGATTACGTGTCATTTGTTAGTCGCTAAGCCGGTGCTGATGGGGCCTTAGTGCCGTCTAAACACATATATATGTTTACTATCAACACCACATCTCAAAAACAGACCAGTACTAAACTATCAAACACTAATTATATCGTATTAACGAGCTATTATGACTAAATCAGCTGTCTTAAAAAGAAATCAGATGATTGCAGGTTTACATGCTCTGTCTGTTATATGAGAATGACGCAGTGGCGATGGAAAAATGACTCATCCTGTTATAATGTGCCTCAAAATCCACGGAGTTGTCTGTCTGTACTGTCCCATAGATGGATCAAACTCATTTATATGGTAAAATCTGGATATTGGGGCATGGAATCGTAAATTATTGTACGATCAGATCTTTTAAGTTTACAAAATGTTTGTTATTGACTTAAAATTGAGCGTTTTGGTGAAGGTTTTGTACTTTCCTTTTATATCTCGATTTTCCGAATGTACACATTACTGAGTTTTTATGAACATATGGTTTGTGAACCATATGTTGGGACTCTTTTCTGTCTGTCTGCAGTCTTTAAGTCATTGCAAACATTTGTTTACAGAGGTTTATTTATGAAACGGTTTTTGAATGAAATGATTTGTTTTGTGTCTAGGCCTGCTTTGACTGCTCCGCTAAGAACCCGAGCTGGGCCAGTATTCCATATGGAGTATTTCTGTGCATTGACTGTTCTGGGATCCATCGCTCTTTGGGAGTACACTTGAGCTTTATCAGGTTGGTCTGACTCTCTATTGTCTTTCTCTTTAATTATATTATGCTGTCATGCAAATGTCAGGTAAAGTTTTTAGTCATCCGTGGTGTTCCAGAATGCCACATTCATTTGCTAATTACAAGGCAAGAGTTGAGGAGTATTGTCTTTTCAGATCCACAGAGCTGGATAACAACTGGAGCTGGTTTCAGCTGAGATGTATGCAGGTTGGAGGAAATGCTAATGCGGTTAGTTCTTCTTTTTCCTACCCTATAATAAGCATTGCCTCAGTTCTTCCTTTAAAACATAGCCTCTTAATTCAGCTATTTGCATGAGCCAATACTGTAGACTCAATATACTTTTCTTTGTGCACAGATGGGGTTTTTCCGCCAACATGGCTGTACCACCAATGACACCAATGCGAAGTATAACAGTCGTGCGGCTCAGATGTACAGAGAGAAGATTCGACAGCTTGCCAACGCTGCGCTCTCCAAGTATGGCACTGAGGTTAGTATACAAACCTCATTCTGTTCCAGCGTTATCACTGCCTAGAAAGTGAACTATGCTCCTTGGGTTTGTTGTCAGCATTCGTTATTAAAAGATGTTGTACTGTCATGCTGTTAACATGCTCTAAAGGCAGGGCCTGCCATCCAGCTTAGTTTCAAGACCAGATTTTACATGTCAAGTCATCTTCATTTATATAGCGCTTTTAACAATGGAGATTTAAAAGCAGCTTTACAGAGATAAACATACAATTTACGGTAACAGAGATTGTTTTGGCTTTATAGCGATTTTTGAATAATGTTATTTCCAGCTAAAGTTAGTTTTGATTGATTCACTTCCAGCAAAATTATCATTTGTTATTACATTAGGGGCCACTAAGACGACGGCGTTCTCTCTAAACAGACTTTAAACGCGAACCTGTGACCTGATGGCGTTCACATGCGCATTAAAAATTGATTCTATAGTTATATTCGTTTGAATATATGTGTGCAGGTTTGTAAGACATTGTAAGACATAAGACATTTTATGGCAAACCCAACACTATATACTAAAAAAAATCGTTTTTTAATAAAAGTAACAAAATGAAACAAAATGTGTATCGAAATTTATTAAAATAAACTTTATTGATATTACAACAGGCATGTTTTTATAAGTAGTCTAGTCTGAATGTTTGGGTTCTAAATGCCAATAATTCACAGAACTGCACATATTGTGCATATCATCACAAACCATGTTTTATCTCTGTTGCAAGTCAAGACACAATACAGATTGTTTCAAAGCAGGTTTACAGTGATAACAGGGAAATGGTGCATTTAAGCTGTTGTTCAGCAGAAGTCAGTTCAGTGTTGGTAAAGATCAGCAATTATTAAATTAGTTCATTTTATCTAAAGCAGTTCTGCAAAAATATTATTCTTTTTCATGGATGAGTTTGATTGAATGCATGCTTTTTGTTGTCAGCAACAAATGTCAAGCATTTTCTTCATGGACAAGTGTATCCCAATTATGTATTGTTTATTTAATGACTTTATGGTTAATTCCCCAACACACACACACACACACACACACACACACACACACACACACACACACACACACACACACACACACACACACACACACACACACACACACACACACTTACTGTGAATCTATAACAACAGATGTACAACCTAATAATAATTGCAAACCACATATTCTAAAAATATTTTTGTTTTGGATTATTTTATATTATTACTTGTATTACTATTATTTTTTTAACTTTATATATTATTTTAATAGTTCCATGTTGCTGTTTAGTTATGTAAAGCAAAAAGAGATTTGGATTGCACTTTTTTTTAATGCAGCTGTGGTGTTTGTGATATTAAATAAACTTTGAACTTGAGTCACTGAACAAACTCCACGTTTCATCAGTATTCGTTAGCTTTATCTTCACAGACTCGCTTGTTATGAAAGCACACCTGACGTCCAGTGTGTCTGGAGAGTTGCATTCAGAACTTTTATTCTGCTTTCTGACCCCCTTTATTTTCTCATCGTTCAGCTGTGGATCGACAGCTCCGGCTGTGCTCAGCCATCACCTGTAGAGAAGAGAGAGACTGACTTCTTTGAAGAGCTCACACAGGTAGGACACACACGCTGCATCTGAAATCTCATACTCTCTTGAGTAGGTACTTATTTTGAATAAGGTCTTACTTTGCGTCCACTAAAAAAGTATGTTCTATATAGTATAGTGTGTAGTATGAATGTAATTGAGACGTACTACCTTCGCCATGATGTTATTATCACGTGACCTACCAGCATCAGTTACGTCACTTCTCTGCCATTCATAAATCCTCTCCCCATGCCTTATGGGATAGTAAAGTGTCCATCGTATGCACACTTCCGAATATTGGCAGAAGTAGAAGGTCATACTCTTTTGCCTACTCTTTTATGAGTTCTGCATTCTTGTAGCATATCGGATTCAGGTATAGAATTGTGCATTTATTTTTTACTAGTAAATGCTGAGTTATGTCTTAAGGAACACTTTTATTTGTATTTATTTTTAAAAAAGTTTTACTAAACATTTAGCTGAACAGTGCATCAGGAGGGAACAGTTTACCTGTTTTTTGTTTGTTTACTGTATTTTTTTTTTGTGTGTGTGCCAGAAACAGGATTCCCTCAGTCTTGGAAACCTAAAAATATCATGGAATTTTGTTAATTATAATTGTGAGAGTCAAGAAAATAAATGACATATTTTAATTTAAAGTTAGTTTTTCTGGTTCTCTAAAATATTTAATCAGTAATTGCATTTTGATCTTTTAAATTCCTTATTCTGTTATTGGGAACGACTGAAAATAGTGTCAAAAGTTTCGCTCTCTCTTTAAAATTGTGCTCATGCAGATATGCCATTATTATTATGACTTGATTTGTAATATTTAATAATTGTGTTTTCTTACCTGTAGCCTGCCAACAGTTGGGACATGGCGTCCCCATCCCTAACAGATCTGAATGGAGCTGTAACTGTTAGCCCTCAACTGGAGCAGAGCAGTCTTAAGAGTTCAGAGACTACCAGCACTTGTGAGTGTGTCGCATTGCACACCATTAATGCATGTATACATCATTGTCATTACTTTTACATGCAAACATTTCTTGTCCATGTGATCCAGTGCCTGAAGAGGGTCCGAGCATTGAAGGACTGAGCACCAGTCCTAAAGCCACAATAGGTGAGTGTTTGCTGATTTGTGTGTGTGTGTGTGTGTGTGTGTGTGTGTTAGTGCTCTGGCAGAATGTACATTATCATCAGAACATCCCCATGTGTCTATTTCTCCCTTCACCACCCAATTCCCCATATTATTTTTGAAGTGTTTTTTTGAGATAATATCACCACACATGAATGAATCCTGTAAGCAAGTCAAGCTCCAGGACCTGTTTGGGACCTGTATATCAACCTTTTTATGGACAACAGCAAATAATAAAAAAGCAAAAAAGTGCTATGGTACTAAAACACCATATTTTATAAACATTATAATGACAAACTCATGACTATGTATGTACTTAAGTCTTTTTAAAATCATATCTATGTGTAATAGCAAGCCAGTAAATGTAGTTCTGCGACATTTATTGCAAATGAATTCAGAGCCTGCTGTCCTGTCTGTTCTGTTAATGTAGAGATTGAGAACTCAATGAGATTGGCGTCTGAAGAGTGTCAAACTCCTGAAGGTGATTTGAATGATTTTGAAATGCCGATTGGCTGATCAGAAAGTAGCAGCATGGTTCTGCGCTTGACTGACACTTAATTTGAGTGTGTGTGCCGCTTTGGCTCCGCCCCTTCCTCTTTGATATATATTTACTGCAAAGCTGCTCGTATTTAAAAGTTGTCTTTACTGCTTATATACATTTTAAAAAAAAATTCTTACTGCTTCAAATCTATTCAGGGTGTCATCAGGGACAGTGTATATAGTGCACTGACAATTGTTCGCTGGGATTTAATTTATTTTATTTAAAATTGAGATATTCAGTGCTAATCAACATTATGAAACAAATGCTGTTGATCGAGCTTAAAGCCCAAAGTATTCTTCAACCATCTATTGTTTTTGCCATCCATTGTTGTTAATTATTTTTTGAATGCTGCCTGTTAATGCCCCTAATTAGTGCAAACGAAATTCACGGATGTATAGAAAAATATGGATACATGCATACTGTGATGATGAAAAAATTGCATCACACACGCTGTAAATATACCTTAGTGGACACATAAACTTTGGGCTTCTCTTGTACCTTGAACATTGCTTGGAATTGATCATTTTAAAGGTAGGGTAGGCGATTTTCGGAGAGGCTAGCAATAGCGAGCTAGCTTTGAAAGCATAAGATCCCACCCTCCTTTCAGAGCGTCTCCAAAGCCACACCTCCTCCAAAACACATGAACGCATTCAGTAGGGAGCAAACAAAAGCTTCACGAGAGATGGCATTAAACTACCTCATGTCTCAAAGCACATACCATTACAATAATAATGAACATAAACACTGACCTGTACCACCTGACTGCTGCAGGTTCATTTCACCGTTGATGGTGTTGCCATGGAAACGCATAAATTTGAGTCACGGACAACCTCGAGTATAACGTTACAGGTTTCCAACTCTTTCAATTGTGTACGCTGCATAAGCTCGTTGTTTTGGTTCAGGAGGAACTGTAAAAGACGACTGGTGTTTCGGTTGCGCTGCTCAGTGACTGACGTCTGTCTAACTCTGCATAGCATGAAGCGTGCTGATGACGCATGATGTCTGCGCGAACAGAGTGCGCAAGGGTATGTAAAAACATACGTTGACAGGCAGATTGGACATCCTGTCGTAGCCCTCGGAATGAGATCTGTGATTGGACTATCATGTTATGGTCCTACGCCTTCCACAGATGATACATTTAGACCACTTATCTTAGTGATTGCTATTGAAATGTGAAGAGACTTTCAAGCAGCATAACAAAAAATGAAGCAAATCACCTAACCTGCCTTAAGGAGTCAACTAGAAAAATTGCCAGAACGTGACATCCTTAGTAATTGAATGTAAAAGCAGAACTAACTTGCATGCTATAAAACTATTATTATTCACAAAGGATTTGTCAATTCGTATTCCTAAGGTGCGGCAATTTGTCACTGGACCGCTTTTTGTCCAAAAAATTGTCCTCAAGTGTTTTTAGCTGTCTGAAAACGACAGGCACTCTTCTGAAAACGCCTAGCTGCGGGCGATTGAGAGAATTTGTACACTTTGGTGGCACAGTGTTTTTTCAGTTGAGACGCTTTGGTTGCGGTTATACGCAATATCCGTGGAAGTGTTACTAGTATCTGATTTCACAGATAGTTTGCTTCTGAATACATACTATGTATATTCTGAGACCAGCAATATTAATTTCTCCTCCATTGTGCCGTTCTTGTGCTGCTTGTTGTTGTCATTGTAGAAGCAGGATGTGACATTTGGTCAGTGTGGTATTTGTCCCGCCCCTCTTTCACTGTGGACAGCTGGGTAAAAAGTGACAGTGACACAAAGTTCTACAATTTATTAGGGCTGGGTATTATTGACACAAATTTCACAATTCGATTTCGATTCACAAGCTTGCAATTCGATTCCGATTCAATATTGATTATTTTGGATATCAGGTACAATACATGGCAAGTTTTCTCAAGGAAAACAAATCTCTTAACTAATGCTGTAACTATGGGAGTCAGTTGTAGCCTACTAGGCTTCATTAGCCTACTATAATATTGAAGGTAAAAATTAACTGATTTGTATCTATACAAACACTTTAATTACACTTTTATTTATTTTTATAATAATAAAGTTATATGAAATATAAACATTTAAATGGTGGCTGTCATAAAAACTTGCCAGATTTATTCAAACATGCATTAAATATCGAAGAACATTAAAAATTATAATGAATATGTAATATAGTGCATATATTTAGCAAAATGCTCCTTTTTAGAGTAAATTTTTCTAGCTGACTAACGAGTTTATGGTCACATATGTTTTTTCTGAGGTAAATGTGACGTTACATGACATTGTTTACAAGTTGTTTTACTGACGTCTTTCCACGGTTGAAACACTGATTGAGCGATTCCATGTGACATGATACGGATTTCGATAAGTTGTACTCTATCTTTTAACACACTTTCAGACGTTCATTCGTGTTTATTTCGCGCTTCAACCTCCCCGTCTCTCTCTTGAAACCAACACGGAAGTGAATTAAACTGCAATTCATCGAGTGGCCGCTTGAGGCTGACTGCAAAAGCGAGTCAAATCTGTATCTCCCCTATGTTAAAATGCCTCACTTCACAGCAGAAAAAAACATGTTTACAGCCTGGTGGCAAATAGTTTTTTTGGTCTATATCGCTAATTTTGCCCTTCATGACGACTGTGAGGGGGGTGAATTTTTTTTACAACTCATCCGTTGAAATTATATTAAGCCTTAAAGTTCTGCATAATTAAGGGCGTGGCCACTTGAGTGACAGGTGGATTGCCGCTGCTTTCACTGCTAGTCGTTTGTCTGCTGTCTGTTAGCGTCACCCTCAGCTGTGTTTGTGCTTTTTTTCGGGATTATTTCATACAATTTAATACACGTATTATACCTTCGCCCATGCACGCCGTTGGATTCCGTCGTTGTCGAGGATGGAGAGAACAACCAGCGCTGTATTTCCAGTTGTTTCCCTCGCATGCACTAATCTGGATGTCTGACAATTTCATTGCTTTTTTGAGTTTAGATTTAAAAACGTCTGTAGATATAGAGACCACACTCATGCGGTACTGTTGCTCTCACGGAACAAATATGCTTATTTAACTTTGTAGTGTAAAATAAAAAGTACCGTCAGATGAAATCCTGCAGGTGTCAGAGCTTTCTCTTCGTCCATCCACACTTAAAGGAGTCATAATGTGCAATTTTCACTTTTCCATGAGAATCAATGTATGTTATGATTGACTAACGATTATACATTGGCCGGGATGTCGATATTCAAAAGTGAAGCGTTTGTTTACCCCAGGGTTCTTAAACTAGCCAACGTGCACGCGCACTCAAATACGAGATTTCAATTTCTCCCCCGGCTTGACGTCAAGACGGGGCCGGATATACCATATATGGACACCGCAGAGGAGGCCCGCCCTGCCCCTCTCCCCATCATATTCAGCGATATTCAGTCAAGAAAGATGCAGAAACGTAGTGCACACGTGAGTTGCTCTGTGGTTGACTGTCATAATCCACATTCTAATGTTTTTTCTTTACCCAAAACTGACCAAACTACAAGGGACAAGTGGATGAAATTTATTTTTAATGACGCTGTTCCAACAACCATCTCAACTTGCTCAACGTTAGGTGCTGCGCTAAACATTTCACAAAAGAATCTTTTACAAATTTGGGGCAATATCAGGCGAAGTTGGCATCGAAGCTACGTTTGGAAAAAGGTGCCATTCCAACAATCAGGGACTTGCCTGAATTTGAAACGGTAAGACTGTGTTTTTATTACTATATTTTGTGTAACAAACAGCAGCTAACTACTAATGCGGTTAATGTATGTGATGTAAACACGGGGAATGGACTCTACGAATGCTAGCCACATCTTTCCACTTTGTTTTACACTACAGTAACGTTAGCTATTATTTAATATAATCGTATATAATATAACAATGACAACATATCATTGTATTGATTTTTTTATATAATAGATAAGGATAGATAAATTTAAAAAACAGTCAAGAATTAATAAACATAAAGAAAAACATAACGTTACATGTCTGCAGATGAAAATTATTAAATATCTAAAAAACCACAACGTCAAAAAAGGCAAAAACAACACATTATAGCAAACGTTAATCTCTATAACCACTGTAAGCTGAAAATAAAGTAGACTACATCTCCGTTAATGTAATCTACATTAAATAAAAGCTAAACTTATGTGGGAGAAAATAGCAAAAAAAACGTTTTAGCTCGTTACTGATGTTAATGTATGTCTCAGTCAAAAAAATTGTCTTTACCATTCAGAGACATGTTGATGTAGACGACGTCCTTCAATTGACTGTTGTTCCTCTTCCGTTTCCAGCTCTGGTTCAGAGTCTGGCTCAAACATATACGGTTGAATCCCGTAGGTCGCGGCCAGGTCGGGTTCATTCACAACTTGCGCCATGATCTCTTTTTGGAATGATATGCTGAAGTTACCTGCGGTGTCAAGCCCCCTCCTTCCTGCCACCAATCAACGCGCCCCTCATTTGCATTATTAAAATGACCGTCCACGACAGCCAAAACCTCGCATCAGATCTCGCGAGACAATAATGCATTCAGAAATAAGGGTCAAACGAGCTCTGTGTTTATTTTTTTCCAATTTTTCTTTTTTAGAAGGGCATGAAATGACTATAATAGAGCGTGGGTATCAAAGTTAATACTACATTATGACTCCTTTAAATGAGCGCGGATTTCTAGTGCATTTACTGAACTTCTGAGGTAAAATCTTTAATTGCTGGTTTAAAAGCTGGTTTAACCCATCTGAGAAATTGAGAGGCGGCCCAAATCAGATGATATCAGATGAAAATCAGACTGAATAAAGCTCTTTTACGAACTTGAACTTGACGTGCGATGCCATGCTGACTGACATGTATGTGCATGAATCACTGTCACACGCACAAGCTCAGAGCAATATTGTAAGTAACTGTCTGCATGATAATACATTTTTAACTAGCAGAATAATAATGCATCACGATACACATAGTTGACTGCTTGTATGTTGTGAGAAATGTGTGTGATCTGTGTTATGTACTGTTGTATAGCCTACATGCTCTTAACTAATTGCCCCTTTTGGGATTAATAAAGTTGAGAAAAAAAGTAAAGTAAATAGTCTCACTTTTAGTTACGTCTTTTAACTATTATAATATTTCGAAAGGCAAAAAAAATGAACTTTAACTATTGGCTTTAATCTTCAATCAGCTGTCACTTTAGCGCGAGGCCAGTAGCATATAGCATTAGCACCTCTGCTCCACCCACGTTCCGCCTCTTTGCCCATTTTATTTTATCCGGTAGTGACGAGAGGTGACGCGCTGCCAAGATGGCGACGGTTAGCCCCGCCCACTTTAGGCTTCAAAAACGCTCTTCAGAAACCTACGGGTGACGTCACGGATACTACGTCCATATTTTTTTTACAGTCTATGGCTGTAACTAGTGATGGGCGATACTGCAAATTTCTGTATCGATCTGATACCAAGTAAATACAGGGGCAGTATCGCCGTTACCGATACCGATACTTTTTCATTTTAAAAGCATGCATTTGAACTTGTATGCACTTTCCTGTGCTAGAGCAGTGTGTCATGATTTATGAGGTGAATGCATCATTAATATGCTAAATCTGAACACGTTTGCATAACTACTAGTCCTATTTTGTGATTTGTGCTCTCAACTCCCCTTTAATTAGTCAGTGACTTTTACAAAACTACCCTAATTATAGTACTAGCCTACTAGTACTAGCCTACTGTTCAAAAGTTTGGGGTCTGTAAGATTTTTATTTCTCTTAGTAAAAACTGTAATATTACAATTTAACAATTTAACATAGGCTATCTGTTTTCTATGCCATAGTAAACTGTAATTTATTCATGTGATCAAGGCTGAATTTTGGGCATCATTACTCCAGTCATGATGATAATTCATTTTAATATGCTGATTTGCTGCTCAGGAAACATTTCTTATTATTATCAATGTTGAAAACCGTTTCATATTTTGTCGGAAACTATGAAACATTTTATGCAGAATTATTTGATGAACAAAGTTGAAAGAACAGCATTTATATGAAGTAGATTTTTTTTAATAGTGTAAAACCCTTGACTGTCACTTTTGATCAATTTAATGCATCGATCCTTGTTGAATAAAAATATTAATTTCATAAAAAAGATCTTACTGACGTCAACATTTTAAATCGTTATGTACAGTTTTGGTTTGTTTATTGCGAAATAACTCCCGATTGTTTCTCTGTCATCTAAGCAAGGCTTCGTTTCCCAAACGCACTGGGCCTCTGAGCTCAGCGAAGCACCAGCATCGAACGCTCTTTGTGATTGATTGGTTTCGTCTTGTAGCCTATACAGATGACTAGAAGAAAAGGTTCTATCCTACACAATTACCCGCTAACATTCGCTTATTTTTCGCACTGAATTGCGTGCAAAATTAATAAAAAATTACTGGTAAAAAAAATACACATTTGGATCGATATTTTTATGTGAGGATCGATCCTTTTCGATACCACGTCAGTATCGAAGTATCGATACTTTAGGATCGATCCGCCCATCACTAGCTGTAACTGGTATTATTAAGGCAGAAGAGGAGATCATGTGCGCTCCGCGCTGCTGCTTCTCTTGAGCTGAGCTGAGCCAGAGCGATCTCACGCCACAGCGCCAAAACGGTATTTATGTTTTTGAATTTCGTAAGAAAATGGACGTAATTTGAGACTTTATTTAGTATCAATAGTAACAAAGCACAAAGATTATTGCTATTTATTGGATGGGATGCGCGCTACAATGTTCCATTCATTCATCAAATGAAAACAGGATGACTAATCGATTCTTGATATTTAAGAATAAAACGCTAAGTGCGCAGCTGCCTCACTGGCTCGTCACGCTGCTGCCATTTTTAAATATGTGGCTCTCCCATTAAAACATTTCAAATATATACTGTCCTTAGGAAAATATGCTTTAATTGGTGGACATATGGCCTTAAGTATTGATGCCACCTTTTAATCTTAAGAATTCCTTGACACATTCCCATATTATTATTGTTGTTATTATTTTTTGTTAATCTAATTTTTGCAATTTAACACAAGTGAAGGCATGTGTAGCCAGTGTGTAAAGTCACTCACTGATACAAAAGGTGTAGGGTTTTCTGATCTCATAAAGAGCTCGCAGACACAGAGCTTATGTTGTGGTATTTCTGATATGTACTTCCGGTCTGGATTGATTTATGCCCTGTAATGAGATTAGAGCGGCTTTTCATTGTTGATCAGGATGCAGTGACTTTAAGACCAGTTTCAACCATCGTCTTAGTAAAAAGCTTCCAGTCACCCCAATTTTCTATAAATTTTTGTAGCTCATTGATACAGTTTGCAAAATGAATACAGCATGAATGTTCACATGTACATTTTCAACACACTCTTGCTCTGATAATCTAATTGATTTGTGTGACCTCTTGCCTTTCCTCAGGCTTTGCCGGCATGATATTTCCCAGGTCGTTATTGGCCGTGGCCTCTATCGCCATGCACTAATGATCCTTATCTAGAGAAGTTGTGTTCTCTGGAATAATCTAGGAGGAAAAAGCTTGTTTACTTTTCTCTGACTATGCTTTCTGTTTTCAGAAATTAAATCCTCCATCATTGGAAAGAAGAAGCCAGCCACTACAAAGAAAGGGGTAGGTGAACAATCATTGCTCTCGGTCACTTCCTATTCAGGGAATTGTTGTCCTGATTTTGCAGTGTTCAGTTTTTGTCAGTAGGTGTCAGACTTCTACTACAGAATCTAGAACTGTGGTTCTGCCTCAAGCTAAAGGAAATCAAAAGTCAATGCAGACATGTGCAAGGAATGGCAGAATCTGAATGTTAAATCTTCTATAGTTAGACCAATGAAACGTTTGTTTCGGTCAGTAAAGTGTTTTAAGCACTAACCTGTCAACATGTCCACGTCATATTTAATTTTGGAATCAAATAGGATAATATTTTATACTTTTAAGGATTATCATGGATAAATCATATATAATAAACACTGCAATATTCCTTAAAATAAGAATTTTCTATTCCGATTTTTTTTTTTTTCACATGTAAACCATCTGCAGAAGTTTCAGATCTTTGTAGGTGGTAATTTGTAAAAAATGTCTTCCTTTGGTTTTTAGCTTGGCGTTAAAAAGGGTCTCGGTGCCCAGAAGGTGAGCAGCAAGAGCTTCACTGAGGTGGAGAAGCAAGCCCAGGTGGCGGAGAAAATGAGAGAGGAACAGGTCGCTGAAGCCAAGAAACAAGCTGAAGAGTCCATGTGAGTCTAACTCAAAATCTGTCCGATTAGGACTGTTGGACATGTTTGCAGATGCTGGAAAACTTTTAAAAAAATCTTTATTTAAAGGTGAAGAATGTAGTTCACTAGTGGAATTACAAAAAAATAAAGCATTATTTCAAACAGCCTTGCAAACACTCTTTCAAAGCGGCACACCTTCCCCAACGCAAACATCATGTCCAGCTCTTACGGCGCTAGTAAAGTCATCTCTCAACCCTTTAAAAGTAGGCTACTTCCAAGAAAAGGTCAAACATTTTCTGAATACTTTTTGATGTGTTGCTATGTGTCATGAGTAAGCAACAGAGTTGGCTTAGTCTAGAGCGAACGTGAGTGTTTTTCTCATCATGAACCTGTCCAATGTATCTGCACCGGGCACGTTTTTGACAACGCTCCACGACTGTTTTTTTTTAAACGGGTACACATTGTGTCTTTCTGAATGAGTGTATGGTATTGAAGCGTTCATTGAACAATAAACAGGGTTAATAGAATGTATTTTAACATAAAATCTTACATACTTCACCTTTAAAGATTTTGCCCTCTCTTCAAACGATTGCATTCTCATGCCTCTTCTAACAGTGCGATCAGAGCTATAGCTTTAGCATTTTCCCCCCTGATTGCTTTCCCCCTTATCTCACAGGGTGGCCTCGATGCGACTGGCCTACAAAGAGCTGGAGATTGACAGGAAGATAGAGGAGAAGAAAATGCAGAACCTAGAAGGGAAGAAGAAGCAACAGGCGGAGAGACTGGGCATGGGATTCGGGAACAGGAGGTAAAGACCCAGCGGAAACCTCTATTACACCACTGTCACATTAATTACATCACTCCCCTCAAGCATGACATCACCGTCTCCAGCAGATTAATAGCCCAGAACAGATGTTAGTTTTGTTAATGTGATGTTTTTCTGCAGTGCCGTGTCTCATTCCGTGATGTCTGAGATGCAAGTGATCGAGCAGGAGACCCCGGTGGGAGTCAAATCCTCCTCTCGCTCCAAGCTGGACATGTTTGATGAGCCTGGCTTTGCCTCGGGACCACCAAAGTATGTTTGTGACGGACACCATTTGTGTGTGTGTGTGTGTGTGTGTGTGTTTGTAATTCGTATCATTCGTTGTGATCTCAGGTACAAGGACAACCCGTTCACATCAGGAGACAGCTTTGGGTCACGGTGGGACAATGATGGAGGATCATCGTTCTCCTCCTGGGCTCTGGAGAAGGATGAACCTAAAGACAGTGAGGTCACCATCTCAAGCATCCAGCCAATCGGAGAAAGGTTGGTCTGTCTTTATAACGTCCTGATCCAGTAGTCAGTGATTTGATCTGTGGCCGCTTTCATGACTGGTGACCGGATGCTTGTCAGGTTGCCCAGCCGACGGAAGCCTGAGGTGTCTGTGCCAGCCGCGGAGTCTAGCGAAGCACGAGAGAAGTTCGCCAATGCTAAAGCCATCTCATCGGACATGTTCTTCGGCCGCGAGAGCAACCCAGAGGTACCATGAGCCCACTAGACCTTCAGTACATCGAGTTCATTTTGACACTAACTGGACATGTTTAGGTGTTCATTTACTGTAATCCTTAGATTGTGTGTTAAATTATATTGCACAATTTTATAGGGGTGTGGGGAAAAAAATCGATTCTTGATTCTATCTTCCGATTTGCATCGATTCACAAATTTCAAAAATCGATTTTCTAAAGTGTTTCACTTCTTTAACTTCGCAGTACTACTTAAAGTTACTTAAAATTATTGACGTTAATCACGAAAAGCTCCGAACAAGGGCTAAATGCGGTGCTCGTGCTGACGGACTCAGCGACAGATGGCGCTTCTCACATGCATGCGATCTCGAATTCAGTTCTTTCACAGCTACACACACAACTGTCAAAATGCGAATCGTGTGGACTGTTCAATGTAAAGCGAGTCTGTTATGTCCTACGCGAACGAAAACAAATGGGAGAAAATCGGATGTGTAACAGATCCGTGCGTTCATTCTTAAAGGGACAGCCGCCTCATAAACGGTTGCTATCCGTTTCATTAATGTTGATTAAAAAAAAACACTGCTTTTGACTGAATCACTTTTTTATCTTTAATGTGAATCAATTTATATTTAATTCACACAGTGAAGACTATACAGTGTTTTATTTTTTTAAACTGCTAAACTGTCTACCGCAGTCAAATAAGAAAAGGAACACAAAACGGTAAACTACAATCAAATATATGCGCACATCGAATTGAAATTTGATTCAAAATCAAGAATCGATTTGAATCGAATCATGAGGTACCAAAAGATTCCCACCCCTACAGTTTTATGTAAATTATTTGTGTATTTAAAAATGTGTCATATTTAAAGGGATACTCCACTTTTTTTGGAAATATGCTCATTTTACAACTCCCCCAGAGTTAAACTGTTGAGTTTTACCGTTTTTGAATCCATTCAGCCGATCTCCGGTTCTGGCGGTACCACTTTTAGCATAGCTTAGCATACATCATTGAAGTGGACAAGACCATTAGCATTTCTAAAAAAAAAAAATGACCAAAGAGTTTTGATATTTTTCCTATTTAAAACTTGACTCTTCTGTAGTTACATCCAGGGTTCTAAATTAACACCCGCCAACCCGCCAAATGCGGGTTAAAATTCATTTTGGCGGGTGTTGATAAAAACGTACTAGCCAGTTTGGCCGGTGATGCATAAGGTTCTGTTCTCGGTCATTTAATCCCCCTGGCAGTACTTCCTACATTTCCCATAAACACTGTGCCGTAATGCTATGTGATGACGTTTCATACGCCCATTGGCTGCGCGCAGTTTGCAGTGAAACCAGTGCGAGAAATGATCATGGAAACAAACGGAGCGTCCGCGTCCGTCCACCAGAAAACACAAGGAAGATGAAGAACGAGCCAGAGCAGGAAGCAGACTGAAAGAGGAGGGAGCTAGTAAAGTAGCTAAAGTAAAAAGTTAAGATTAAACTAAATGCGGCGGTGGTTGGGACAGACTTCTGGGTTTAAATTTAAATGTCGTTTAACGAGAGATAGCCTACGTTATTTTTTTTAAGTTTAAGGTTTTTGTCATTATTTCTTACAAGCTTATACATTAGGCAATAGCCTATAGCCTACACAACAAGCTTACTATATATCTTAAGGTTTTCTTTTAGTTGAAAACATTAAACAATATGTGTAAACAAAATATATAAATAACAAAAGCATTTAAGCTCAGGCAGTGCAAACGGGGAAAAAACGAAAAAAAAAAAAAAAAAGCAGACTGCGCAGTTATCGTACAGAACGTAGTCAGCATACTCGAGTCAGCATATGATTATCGTGTTTATATTGTTTCACGTTCATGTTGAGAAAAACAATAATATCCACATGCTCGAGTGAGAAAACGCGCTGCGCTGACACACAGTCGTTGCAGAGACGCGCGCACGTGTGTGTGTGCAAAGTGAAGTAACAGCACTTTGCGTTTTCTGTTCTTAAACCTGTCTCCCTCAACGAAACTTAAAGGAAGCATATGTCAAAATCATTTTGCTACCAGAAGATATCGGGGTACAGCTGCTGACCTGCAGTCGTTAATGCAGTGATGGACAGCTGCTTCCTCAGTCGACGGCTGTTTCTTTGGATTTCATGTGATTTCTCATTGTGGTGGTGATATTATGATAATAATAATAATAATTAATAATTGATTAAACGTAATTCCATTTTGTAATAGGCTATCATTTTCATCTAAGTAATTCCAAACTTCGCGAGGCAGACAACGACATTATGTGATCAAAAACACAATCCACTTGTTAAATGCTCCACCCAGTGCATTTAATTATAACTGCGAAAAAAAATTGAAGAAAAAAAGTATTAGTATTAGTATTTTATTTTTTTAATAATAATTACAGAGCGAAAATTCGAATATTCGTGCACATCCCTAATAGAGATAGATCCCAAACTTGAAATGAAATGTTTGCACTTTCTGTCTTGTATTGTACTTTATATGTGTTTTTCATGCCAACAATGTTAATAAAATTATCAAATGCATTCAGTGGCACTCATAATTTCTCTTATTTTCACCGGAAAAAATTTGGCTAGTGGAAATTCTAAATGGCTGGTAACTTTAGAAAGTTACCAGCCACATTGGCTGGTGATCAAAAAAGTTAATTTAGAAGCCTGGTTACATCGTGCACTAAGACCGACGGAAAATGTAAAGTTGCCATTTTCTAGGCTGATATGGCTAGGAACCATACTCTCATTCCTGCGTAATAATCAAGAAACTTTACTGCCGTACCATGAGAGCAGCAGGCGTAATGATATGACGCAGCGCCTGAAAATAGTTGTGTTGAAGGAAGGTGGCCTATTTTCAGGCGCTGCGTCATATCATTACGCCTGCTGCACTCATGGTACGGCAGTGAAGTTTCTTGATTATTACGCAGGAATGAGAGTATAGTTCCTAGCCATATCAGCCTAGAAAATCACAACTTTACATTTTCCGTCGGTCTTAGTGCACGATGTAACTACAGAAGGGTCAAGTTTTAAATAGGAAAAATATCGAAACTCTTTGGTCATTTTTTTTTTTTAGAAATACTAATGGTCTTGTCCACTTCAATGATGTATGCTAAGCTATGCTAAAAGTGGTACCGCCAGAACCGGAGATCGGCTGAATGGATTCAAAACCGGTAAAACTCAACAGTTTAACTCTGGGGGAGTTGTAAAATGAGCCTATTTCCAAAAAAAGTGAAGTATCCCTTTAACTCAAGAAAGAATATGGAGACTTCTTTCGTTGTTTATATAAATATGTAATGTCTCTACTAGTATGAAGCAAAGACTCGTCTCGAGGGCATGTCTGGAAGTACCTCCATCAGCTCTGCCGACCTGTTTGGTGACGGCAGTGTGCGTTCCTCTGGTAAACGCATCCCTCTCCATCTCGCCATGTTGCCGTAGTGAGTCTTTGACTGCGACGCTCAGTGTGTGTTGTCCCTGTAGGCTCATCAGGATTCGATAACGTGCTTCCCTCTGGTCCAGACATCGCCCAGTTCAAGCAAGGTGTGAAGACAGTGGCAGGCAAGATGGCAGTGCTGGCTAATGGGGTTATGAACACCATTCAGGTGAATGTACACATTTGCTTTAGATTCTGATTTAACACTTGTACGTCAGCTGTATTAACTCTCTCCGAACACGTTTCAGGATCGCTACGGATCTTACTGAAAGGACTGCATTCGACTGAAATGGAAGTTGCATCAAACAGGACACGCCTCACTGCTGATTGGATCTGGTCTGTCTTTCCTACATGAACACACACATCAGAGAGAGAGAGAAGGGAGCGAGAGAGCAACACGAAGACCTGGGAACTCCCTCTCTCTCTCCCCCAGACCACTGTAGACTCTTGCTGACAGTATTTTTTTTTTTTTTTTTTTTTTAAGACTCTTGTTTTATTTTCAGATAACAACAGAAGCGCTTGACAGAGTGTAAAGTCTGTTTTCAGAGTCACAGTGCTTTCTGTTTGAAATAACAGTCCTGTTTTCTATGCCATGTACTGGTCTTTGATTTCAAATAGTTATGGATTTGAAAGTGTTCTGTCTGTAATTAAATGTATAACTGAACTTCTAGTGCTAATATGTTCTAATGGCTTTCTTTTTTGTATTTTAACGCTCTCCAGAGACCTCAGTGCATTCAGTAAACAAGGAAAGGGAACCCCATATGGTATATTTATAAATTGAGCCCATTTCCTAAACACAATCTTTAAAATTGATGCATTATCATAATTTTACATTGTTCGTAATTATGAGAAAGTTTGAGTGATTTAAGTGATGAAATAACAGTAACATTGTGCAATATGTCCTCGCATGTCAAGGACGAGTTCTTGAGCTTTTTTGTGGATGTGTGAGTGATACCTGGGAGTTTGAGTTTCAGGACAGATTATTTGAATCTGAATCACGTTTGTTTTGCATGCCAGCATAAGCCGTAGACACTGGTGCTGTACAGTGAGTCAGATTTCCAGCATTCACTCGTCGTATTTACAGATAAACTGCTCAAGAAACCAAGCTGACTGAGGAGGTTTACAGTGATGTGATCTAATCGACACAATTTAATACGACTCTCAGTTTAGATGATAAAACAGCAGCTGACAAAATAGATTTTTTATTTAAAATTCACCCACTGATGTGATGTCGTCTGTTTTCTAGTACATGCATTACAGCCTTTCTTTCCTCTTCTTTTGGGTTTATGTCAGACTGGGAACTGGTGGATGGTATTTGTCTGCTAAATTAAAAAAATAAAGAACAACAATCCAACGACCGCCTGGAATTAAAGCTTTTTATTGTGGCCTGTTGAGAATTATGTGAATAAAGAATGAAATCCCCCACAACAGCTGTTTACGACTTTGATTCAGTCGACACAATCATTTTATCTCATAAGGATTACAGATAAAGTGCAAAACAAACAAGAGTGGTATATAGTTAATTCAGACGGAGTACAAAGTAGAGTAGGTGTTAACCCTTTAATGGCCTGGCTGACGTTAACCCTATAAAGCCTACTGTATCATTTGATATGCACATTTTTAAGGCATCTAACATTTCAACATGATAAAAACTTTGCTAAAAAAATTTGTACACAATCTTCTACTTCTTGCTTTCTGTCGTCCGATTGACAGTTTATACTTTTTTTTTAGCAAGAGTATGATTGTAAAAACATCATGACGTGTCTTTTTGCTGTGAAATTTACATATTTTAAAGCAACCAGTATATATTTTATATTGTCAGTAATATTTCAAGATGAACACTTGCTGGACTGAAGCAACTTAGGTTTACTTGATTATATATAATCATTTTTAGAATCATGTTAAAATGTACCAAATATGATACAACAATCTCTAGAAGAATGTTATTTTGTACATTTCAATCATCATGTGTTTTGCCCACCACAATAAAAACTACAGCTTTGATAATAAAAGGAAACATGGAGTAACAACTGATATGCATAAGCATTTCATGTTCGTAGTCTGTTTTACTGTTATCTCATTGATTTACATTATAAGCTATCAGAATTTCATCTTACCATATAAACATAGAAATATAAATAGCAGCAACTGCAGCAAATTGCATATTTTTTGCTCAGTTTGGGCCTCTGAATAAAATTGGGTGTTTTTTCCTGGGTGAGTATGGGCTTCATTTTCTCCTATATCATATGAGCCATAAAACCAAAACAATGTTTTTTTGCAAACTGCATACAATAGTGTACCTTAAAAAAAAAAAAAGATTCTTTTTATTTTATGTCAGGCTTTATAGGGTTAAAGAAAAGTCTGTATATGGGTCAGGGCTTTCATGTGCTCCCATTCAGTGGACACCTTTCATCCTGTTGTGCATGGGCAGGGCGACCTATGACCTCTCCATTCATTCAACCATGCAAGGCAAATGGGTCTGTATTATAAAACACAACTGTTCCTGGATCAGATTTAGTTTGGTAGTGCTCCAGGTTGTGTGATGTTCCTGATTCCACAGGCCTTGATTCCAGAGTCTGTTCATGAGTTGTAAAAGACCCTTTGATCACAGGTACAAAAACACACATAAATGTCACCCCCTGTTATTGCATCGATAGCGTCAGCATCTACAAACAAACCAAAGATCAATGTAACCGTAAGTCTTATTTGCATAGCAGTTAAATTAAAAGAGGGCGATCAGAGAGCCGCATTAAATCCCTTTCATTGTGTCCCTGGCTTCTCATCCATGTCAAAGCTTTGGATTTACTTAGTCACACAACCAAAGAATAACAGGTTAGAAAGTAGACGGTCTATATTCCGTAAATATATGAATGGAGCCGATTAGTGTAACAAACAAACAAAGAAAAAACCTGAATAATGGGGATTTATGGCTTAAAACAGCCTTGCAAAATCAATTCACAGCTTAGGGGATGGATGGATGGATGGATGGATGCCCTTTTATCCCAATCAACTCTATCTTAGATGTTTGAACCAAAATAAAAAAAAGACATGAAGACATACAGTAAGAAAAAAACATCTATAAAATAGCCCATAATTTGGGCTTGGAAATTTTTAATTAGAAATGTTTAAATTCATATTGTGGTCTCTAACTTTGTAGGCAAATTTGATCACAGTGTGAGATCTTTCTAGGATATTTTCCCCATTAGAAAGACCCGAGTCTCCATTTGAATCTCGTTGCTCTCTAGGAGAAAGAAATTGAGACTGAAGAGATTTCTGCGATTTTGCTTTCACCTATTTTCCTGGATATCCACCCCATACTCTGCGAAGTCTTATAAATGTGTCAATACTGTATAATCACACAGTAAAGCTTTGCTCGTTGAAAATGCAGTGGATGGATCGATACAACCAGTGATGATGATGAGGCTCAGTTGATCCAGGCGTACGAGTAGAAGTCGTTCTGCTCCCACAGGTCGCACCTCTCTCGGGAGTAGTTTAGCACGAAAGAAATGTTCCTGTCCAACAGGGCGACGCTTGAGGGGAACTCCGGCCACTCCTCCGGCATCCTACCTGTGACGTTATGAAGAGGTTTGGAACGTTATGGGCAAGATTTGATCACATTATTCACACACACAAAAAAGTTATTTGTCAGAGCACAACATCGACTGCCTTATTTTCACCAGCTTAGGTTTCAGATGTACTATTTATTAGTACCTCGCACCATTGGTACCACATTTGATGATGCAGCAATAAACTATCTAGTATACCTTTTTAAACGTTGCTAATTTAAAACAATCAAAACAGTAATCTATTTTAATGACAAAAGTTGCGTCGGTATCGGAATTGGCCAGTTGTTGCTAAAAATTGGTATCGACCAAAATAAATCCTATGGGTGCATCCATAATTTATTTTCTTAAAAAAAACAACCATTATACTGACTCCAAACCTTTAAATAGTGGTGTACTGTATGTCTCATAAACTAGTTGAAGAATCAAGCAGGTTAGATTTATTATCTTGTTGTGCTATTATTATGGGAAATCTCGCAATAAGCTTACCTTCTTTGGCAAAATGTACAAAATACTTGGTGATCATTTCCTGGAAGTTCATATCAGCTGGTGACAGGGTCCCTAGCACCATTTCAAGACCCCCGAAGAAGGCCAAGCTGTCTAGAAGATGAAAGGCAAAGCGACTGGGGAAGGGAAGCCAGCTGGAGGCGTTCGCCTGTTTTGATGGAGTGTAAGTCACCAGATAACGGTACACTGGGCTCGTTAAAGCGCCTGGAATACATGTGACACCATTGTAAAAATAAGCAAGACAGTTGAGGATAATGTACAGTCAGTGGCAGAGGGGTCTTGTGTCATCCTGAAGGAGTTTATTTTGCAATTATGACTGTACGCTATCCTGCTTATTACACAGCCACTTACCATGAAATATTTATTGGAGCTCACAAATGATCAAATATTCAGAGTGCTGATAAAGCTCAATTGCCTTGAATTGTGAAATGAAAAATTCATTTGAACCTGCAGCTCTCTTAGCCAGGTCGTTCCTGGGGCATGTGGCCTTCATGTCCGAGACCATGGTGGTGAAGAGTCTCTCTGGACAGCGGTCAGAGGTCGGACACGGTGCTGAACTATCATACAGCCTCAGCGCCTGATCGCTCAGGTTCTTTCCGAAAGGGCTCAGTTTGTCTGTATGAAGGAAAACACATTCACTTATATAAAGACTCTCATTCATAATGTTCTTTTTTTAAATGTCTGTTATGAGCGACTTACTCGTCACAATCCACCGATAGTCCCCCCATGTCCATGTGGAGATGTTTTCATATGGAGGACTAGAGAATGATGTATGATATATTAGTGCTGTCAAATCGATTATTTGGGATGAATCGCATCTAAAATAAAAGTTTGTGTTTACATAATGTGTGTGTATATATATATTATTACATTTATATATATATTGTATATATGTTTGTGTGTGTGTGTGCATATACTGTATATACACACACACATATTTATACACATATGCAGTATACAGCATATTCGTGTGTAAATATATATAATTAATAATATATATACACACACACACACATATATATTATGTAAACAAACTTTTGTTAGATGCAATTACTCTCGATTAATCAATTTTTGCAGCACTAGAAAATATATGATATATGATGCCATGGTCACAATGTAGTTTCCATGGTTGGGTAAAATACTCCCCACCGGTTTGAACCAGAATTTGACTAGGAATGACAGGAAGAGAAATTTACTGAATTGCATTAGAAAAATGTCATTATTCCAACATACATTTCACAACAAAACTAATAATTACAAGATTTATTTTTATTACATGTATAAAAAAAAATCGATATATATTATTTTTTTTATAGATTTTTTATAATTCTAATAAAATAATAAAACAATTATAACTAAATAATAAATTAAATACAAATTTCTATAGGTCAAATATCATCTAATTTTGCTGGAAATTCTCCAGTCGAAATACTCCATGTTGAGTATGATAAAGTTTATGGGAATTGTATAATGAATTGTAATGAATAGTTACAAATTACAATTAAAAGACAATTCAATATTTCTTTGAACCTCAATTCCAATTCGTGAACTCAATTTGGGATTTAAAGAAGTTCTCGGCTCAATTCTGAATGGCGCACATTCCTGACAGTATTTTCATTTGACAACTTTTGACTGAAAATCAAACAAAGCAGGTTACCTAAAATCAGTCTCCTGTTCAGTTGTTCCAACCACAAATGGGACATCATTATAGGCTCCCCCTTTCTCCCAGGTCTCAAACGGAGGAGCTTTGAGAACATAGCCGTCAATCACAGCAACTGGACCAACAAATATACCTTTGACTGGAAGATCGACTAAGTCATCGGCTGCCCATGATGGGTACTTCTGCCATGGGATTGCCTGAGTCAGATACAAATCACACACATTAATTCAACCACAGGTCCATTTCTGATATATTACCACCATTTAGAAAAATTAAACCCCTTCCTCTGATGTTCATTGGGAATTCATTGAGCGTTCGGTGAGTTCTGGCAGGAAGTTGAGGTTCGATGATTTATTAAAGAGTGTTTACGGATGAAGAAGCCAACAGGTTGAGGCTGTTGTTAGTCAGCCATGACTCTGCTGTGGAAGGTTACAAGCTCGGCCATAAATTTCTCACCTGAAGGACTTGAGCGATGTGTAGTCCTCTCAGGCAGATGGCGTCCTTGCAGCCAGTTCTCCTCAGGAATTCCAAGTTGTCTTTTTCTGCTGACTCCAGGGAAGCATTATACACGTACGAGCCGCTCATGTCAATCGCACGATGAAAGAGTCCTTTGGCTAGTGGAGACATCATCAAAGTCCAAACCGAAGTTCCTCCTCATGATCACACAGTGAGAGAGATACTTATTATACATCTATAAAGCTAACCCTTGTGAAAAAGAAGTACACTTAATTATATTGAGTGTGCACTAGTAATGTACTTAAGAAGTATCTTAAGAAATATTTTTTTAATGACTACCATAGTAGGGGAAAAAATACTATGGAAGTCAATGGGGCCTGAGATCTGCTTGGTTACAAACATTCTTTTAAATATCTTTCTTTGTGTTCAGCAGAACAAAGACATTTACCGTATACAGGTTTGGAACAATTTGAGAGTGAGTAAATCATTTTTGGGTGAACTAACTATAGATATCCATAATAAAGCCTAGATGTCTCGTCTGCGCTGCTGGCCAATGGAGGTCGACGTCCGCACCTGGCGGCCATCTTGTCACAGGCAGCTCGCTCACTCGTAACATTGTGTTTTAATGGTGCATGTACTTTTTAAATAACCATAACATGCTCAATTTTCTACCGATTTTCAAACTGTTTGGTTTGTTATAAACGTCAGAGATGTAGTTATGACACTGCATACTTATGAATAATAAGTGTATCAATAAATAATCATCCAGAATTATAGCCACGTTAATAACGTTTGTAAGAAACCAAACCGTTTGTAAATCCGTCAAGATTTCAACGAGATGAGAGTATTTGTGTTCGTGCTGATCACTCATCTTACATCAGGTACCACAGAGCCCGCCAGAAAGCTTGCCTGTAACAAGATGGCCGCCGGTGAGGACGACAGAGACTCCGCCGTAAGACATCTAGCCTTTATTATGGATATCTATGGAACTAACCCTTTAATCTACGAATCATGTGCGTTTCGGACCATGGGGCCTGGTCCTTAGGGATCACGGATCAACTTGACATCGCACATCCTTCGGTGTGACTATCGCGGATGCGCACATCGCAATATCGATGCTAAAACGATATATTATGCAGCGCTAACTCATATCGTGATTTTGATCAAATCACCCACCCATTTCAACTTAAGATATAATGAAATACATTTAACATAGTAGTTTTGAACACATTTACAGTAAGGTTGAATTCTTTTTGGTTGGGATTGAGTTTAGATCATGATTACTGGCTTTTTCTATTGACAGCACATTTAACATTTAGAAATAAATACAAATTTAGATGTCATTTTAAACGTTTACACATGAATAAACCTTTGGGTCAGTGTAAAAAAAAGATGTACATTAAACTTATTAGAAAGTAAATATTTTCCAGATAATATTGTAAAGTAAAAATATAGTATATAAAATATAAAATATTTCATTTATATTATAATATATGAAATATGTTACAAACTAGTTTAATTTTAGAAACATGTTGTCCTTATAATAACACGTTCTCAAAAAGTAAAGGGTACAGGATTATGCAATGACAAACAGACATTTTCAGTGTCCAAATACTTTGAGAGGTCATTCATTGTATGTTGTACCTGAGCTTTGACCAAATATGGTAACTCTCCCTGCATCCCCACCGAAGTTATGGATATTCTGTTGGACCCACTTAAGTGCTTGGATCTGGTCCATGAAGCCATAATTCCCTTTGACAGCAGACAGAAAAAAACAGCTTGATGACATTTGATGAATTTCAATATGCTGTAGTGACAAGAAGAGAGCTAACAGAGTCCATAAGGAAATGGATTTAAAAAAATAACTTATTTAAATCTTTAAAGACAGACCTACTGTGAGATCTGAGGTTGTTAATCGATGGTATATGCTTTTGTTGACGCCATCAGCCAGTGTTATTTCAACTTATTTTTAAAATAATGATGTTTAAAAGTTTAATTTGTGATGAAAAACTACATTACCAAGGATAACATTGTGCGTGGCTTGAGTCAAGCGTCCTTCACAAAGACAGATATGCCTGATTCTGATGTTCTCTGATGAGTCCAGTTTTCAGCTTTGCTCAACACCTGGTCCTCTAATGGTTAGACAGAGATCTGGAGAAGCCTACAACCCAGTCTCTCGTACCCTCTATGAAATTTGGTGGAGGATCGGTGACGATCTGAGGGTTCTTCAGGAAGGCTGGAATTGGACAGATCCGTCTTTTTGAAGGACGCGTGACTCAAGTCACGTACAGTACAAGGTTAGCCTGGAAGAAAAATAGCTTTCTTCTGCTCTGACAATGTTCCCCAATTACAAAGATTGGGTTTTCTCGCAGGACAATGTTCTATGCCACACAGCCAGGCCAAAAAAGGTCAAGACCCTGTCATGGCTAGCCCAATCTCCAGACTTGAATCCCATTGAAAACCTCTGGAATGTGATCAAGAGGAAGGACACAAGGTCACAAGCACATCAGACAAAGCCGAGCTGCTTGAATCTTAGTGCCAGGAGTGGCATAAAGTCACCCAACATCAATGTGAAAGACTGGTATAGAACATGCCAAGACACATGAAAACTGTGATTGGAAATTCTGGGGTTTTCCACAACATATTGATTTCAAAACATGTTTAAAAATTTGTATAAACTTGTTTTCTTTGCATTATTTCAGGTCTAAAAACATGGAATGTTTTTTGTTATTTTGACCAGTTTTCATTTTCTGCAAATAAATGCTCTAAATGACAATACTTTTACTGAACGAAAGTGTCCGAGATGGACAGCAGTCATAAGTGAACTGGACACAGTGGACAGGGACGGGGCCTTACCTGAGGAGTTGGTGGGAGAGCCATCTCTGAGCACCTTCAGGGCCATGAAGCCGAAAGCATTGAGCCTGTAATTCAGACTGACATACACCGTCTGTGTGCGGGCCGCCAGCTCTTCGGTGGGGGAGTAGCCTCTCTCCTGGCCGCTCAGCATGTGGAGGTACCCTCCGTGGATCCACACCATGACGGGCAGGAGTTTTGCGGGCTCTAGACTCGGAGTCCACACGCTGAGATGCAGACAGTCCTCCTGTCCCATGACCTGCCCATCTTTCCGGAGGGGTTGCACCTGCGCACAGATGCTGCGGAATTGAGTAGCATCGTACATGCCATGCCAACACTTTCCCGCCTCCACTAGATCCGCCGGAGGTTGCCAACGACGTTCACCCACTGGCGGTACAGCGTACGGGATGCCCTTGAAAGAGTACGCTCCGCCTTCCCAGCGCCCGCGCAACCAACCGCAGTCCGTCTTCACCTCTGCCACCCCTGGAGGAGGAGTCTTCGCCACATAAGCCAGGTATCCCGCGAGAGAGAGGAGACTGACCACGGCACAGCCGATGAGGAACATGCATCTGCGTGACACTGCCCGGAATGGACTGACGTAGTGGCGACGGACGTACCTTATCTGTTCCTCCTCTTCGTCCTGCACTAGATACCGATACTCTGTCCCCTCAGGGACCTCATACACATCCTCACTCATTTTATATGCTCTGTGAGAGAGAGAGAGAGAGAGAGAGAGAGAGAGAGAGAGAGAGAGAGAGAGAGAGAGAGAGAGAGAGAAGATATAAGTGAAAGTCAATACCTTTTTTATCCAGAAAGACTGTGTACTTATACTATCAGATGGGAGGGAAAAAACATGCAAATATTTTCTGTGAAGCTTGTATTTATAAAGCATTCTGAAGGTTTTCCTAATGCCATAGAACACACATTGCACTCCATTATACATTTTAACTGTAACAGTATTATTATTGTGTATGACATTTAAACTTTACTTATGTTCATGACTGCACCTGTGGAGAATTGGTCTGTGATGTAACCTAACACACAGTAACACGTGAAATATACTGATGATTGTGATTTTAAATGCACTAAACTCAAAATGATACAATAAGTTACGTTAGTGTGCATATAGACGTATGTAGGTAGGCTACATTATAACCTAGTATTCTGAATAGATGTGTTACGTATAATGTGTTATGCCTATGGTTACCATATCTATAAAGCATTAATGCATTAGATGCAGGTTTCACAGTGTGCATCTGTGTGGTTTGTGTTAGTTTATTCTCAGTAAGTGTGTGTGCTGTCGTGACAGACGCAGGATGAGGCGAATAATCAGCGGAAACCACCAAATGACCCACCATGAAGTTTCCCATTTTATGCTGACTTATCCATGAGGTGAAAGTTAAAATATTACACCACAAATAAACGTATTCCACTACATGACTCCGCTGAAAAAGCAACATGCATAAACATGTTTAACTGCTCTGAGTCTGTGGAAAAAAATGGTTTCAAACACTGTTAAGACGAGGAACTTCTTTTTAGCATTTGCACAGCAAACATAAAAGTGTACTAAACATAAAAATATAACAACAAATAACAAATCTAACTGAATTTGTCCTGCTAACGTCGATACACAGTTGTCTAACGTTACTTGAAACGGCGCGACTACGACACAAGCACTCAGAGACATTTTCATATTGATTTACTAAACCAAAATAGCGTTTTCCTGTTTAATAGCCTGTGTTTAATGTAAAAAGCAAAAAATGGTCACAAAAAGGTCACAAAATGACGCATGTACTTACTATGACATTAGAGCTCGCGCACGCACTCACTGTAGCCAGGCTATCAGACAAAACAACCCTGTACTGTACGTCTCCTGCTCCGCCCATAACTAGTTTTATGGCTGTATTACCAAACAAACAGTATAGTTTATCAGTTCAGTAGCCTATGTAACTACCGCCACTAATTAAAAAGAATGCAGTAACCATAAATAAAGCATAAATTAATTATGATTTACCAAACCAGTGCTTACTTTTCAGCATTATAATAATATTAGAGTAGGATATCGATTTGAAAAGCAAAAAAGCAAGATTTCAAGAGATTGTAAAAGTTGTACCTTCTTTTCTTTCTTAGAAAGAAGCTGTATTAAAAAGAACAAGGGAGAAAATGAGTAGAATGGGAGTTGCATGCCAGCTCAAATTCAATTTAATACATTTTCATATTGCATATAGTGTTTATGTTTATATCGTTGTTTTATAAAAGCAACTATATTAAGTGTTTTATCTGCTAAAAGTTATTAAAATAGGTAAAAACAAAAACAAAACAAACAGACAGACAGACTGGAATAGATAGATAGACTCACTGATCTTGACTGAATTAACTTAGCTTTAATAAGAATACATTTCTTTCTTGAATGCTGCTGTTAAATGCTCTGGCGAGGAGATAAACATGGCGGGCTGTGTACAACTCACTCAGGGCAGGGTCTCTGATAGAAGTTGTGGGCATCACATCACAAAAGCTACAATCTGCAAACGGCTTGTTCTGAGACACTGATTACAATTTATAATGGGGATTTAAAAAAATTGGAGTGGGTGGATTTTTTTTTTTTTTACCATTATTTTACCATTATAGGGTGGTTGTGCTGAGACACCATGTAAAAGTGAAATTTGCATAATAGGTCCCCTTTAACTCAGTACTTAGTTGAAGCACCTTTACAGCCTCACCTTTTTTTTTTTGCCATTCTTTTCCTGTCAGGTTGGATGGGGACCGTCAATAGACAGACATTTTCAGGTTTCTCCAGACATGTTCGATTGGGTTCAAGTTCAAGTTCGGGCTCTGGCTACAGAGTTGTCCATAAGCTACTCTTATATTGTCTTAGCTGTGTACTCAGGGTCATTGTCCTGTTGGAAGGTAAATCTTCTGCCCAGACCGAGGGTCTGAATACTCTGGACTAGGTTTTCTATCTGTATATTTTGCTGCGTTGAGCATTGCTTCTACCCTGACGAGTCCCTCAGACCCTGCATGAAGCTCCTCCACCACTCTTTACTGTTAGGATGGTATTGTGCAGGAGATGAGCAGTGGTTTCCTCCAGACATAATGCTTGAAACTGAGGTTCATCAGGCCACAGAATATTGTTTTTCACAGTCTGAGAGAGTCCTTTAGGTGCTTTTCTGCAAATTCCAAGTAGGGTTTTTATGAGGTCTTCACTGAGGAGAGGTTTGAGTCTGGCCACTCTTCCTTAAAGCCCAGATAAGTGTCCCAGAAGGCACTGTATATACTTGACACACCTGTGTGTCACTTTACATGTATTCATTTGTGTCAATAAAATAATTTATAGGAAACAACAAAAGCAAATGCATTTTATCAGAAAATCAATTCTAGGCGTGATTAATGAACTCTATAAAGGTTTAATTGTTTTTAAATTGATTTAGATATTGATCCCATCGCAACATGGAAGGTAATTTGCTGGTGGTGAAAAGGCTTTAGAATTTAATATACTAATTACAGTATACAGTGGTTAGACAGGATACATGAGTATGTTATGTGCAAACTTACAAAACCACTGGTGGATCAGGTAAACCCCAGAATATACGCACACAGCATAAAGATAAAAGAGCGAAAGAGATAGATAAATTGCACTGGGAGCTAGTGAGTATCTAGGGGCACAACTCAAGAGAGATGTCTTTTTTAACCCCACAGGGACGTATAATGGATAGCTTGGCTGTTCCTAGCTCTAAGGTCCATGAGGACATTTTTTGCCTTTCTTCCGGAAGCAGTTTATCATCTTCAGCGTTGCTGATACTGTAGTTCAGGGATTTTTTCATGAGCATATACACTACAGCCGAGACTCCATGAATCTAGAGGACATGCATCACATTTATGTTTAATTCAAACATTGATTTGAAAAGCTGAATGAAAACACGGTGAGACCAGACTTTGAGTTATGGCCCATATGTGTACAAGTAGCTCTTAGCAGCATTATAAATTCTGCTCTCTGATGGAAAACACTTGAGGCATGAGGACTCTTATTATTTAAAGATTTATTAAATGCACAGAAGTATATACAAAACCAATTATCCAATTTCCCACTTTCAGCATTTTTCAAACAGAGACTCAAATGAGTTTATTTCACAGTGTAAAAACACGCTCATTATGCCGGTTTAGATACCAAAGTCTCATTGGAGTCCTGTGAAACAACGGTGGACCTTCATCATTGATGGATTATTCCATTTAATGAGCAAATGTAGCAACAATTAAAAGTATCAGATTCAGCTTCATCCCATCCATGCCACAAAACTCTTGAGGATGAATCAGACAGAAACAGAGGAAGACTGTTTAATTCATTTCAGCCAGTCAATTATTGTGTTCAATAAAACCGTTCCCTGGAATTAACCATCTAAATTAGAAAGAAGGCATTCATGTTTAGGAATAGATAACGGGATGAGAGAGCTTGAAGTTTGGCCAAAATTCATTTGACAACAGATGTTTATGAGTGCAAAAAATGTGGTGGAAAAAGGCTCAGATGCATAAAATTATGTGAAAGCTAAAAGAGATAAGAAAAACAGCAATCGGAAAATCACTATCCAGATATATATATATCTCAAGAGACCAGCAGTGCATGTGTTACTCACTGACTCAATAAATGTGGTAATGTTCTGGCACAGGTGTGATTGAGTCCTTGTGTCGCTGTAGCATCCTCTAAATGGCTTCCTCTCATTCTCTACAAACATTTTGGCGGCGCAGACCTGTGAAAGATTCACTTTGACGTCAGCCCCAGTTATAGAAGTAGATCTTCTGCCAAATGGGCAAGTACTCCGTCAGCGGACCTGAGAGGACAGGAAAAGAAATCCAGTCAGCACATATCTCTGAGCTTTTTTAAAGCTTTTAGTGTGACAGCATTGAACATCCATTGGGTGAGATGGATACGCCACTTACGTGCAACCAAACCAACTCCGGGAACATAATCTGCCAAGAAGCGAAGGAGGAAGAGAATCTTCGTCCTGTGAGTGTAAAAGAGACATTAGATCTGGGAACAAAAAGCCCCATTATTCACAAGGGTGTGCATTGTGAAATCTAGATAGATGACGTGTAAAAAAAAATCGAAGACGAACTGGCATGACTCCATTTTGAGCAAAATCGGGCCAAAACAAAGTTTGTGTGAAGTTCGAAGCACGAGCACATGACTTATATTTAATCAAGCAGTAAAAACACCTCTTTCCACACCCAAAACAAAGCGTCTGTGAATGAGAGTCCGAAAACAAGGACAGACGATGAGAGGAAGGAGAATTTTAGAATGACACGACAGTCATTTATGACACTTCATTCAACAACAACAACAGCTCGTGTATTGGTCATACGTCATTTCTACATCATTGAACATGCGCAGTACTTTCAATCCGATCAAGTGTTTACATGTCCTCTCGATCAGATTACAAAAGGTTTTTAAACCACCCCTTACAATCCAAATGAAATTTTTGAAATGAAATGGATTTGGCCAATTCATGCCGATGCTTTCTTTACTGATGTTTTCTCACCGCTGTCATTTTTGTTTATTTTATTATTGAGAGGAAAGTGTGCAGCAAAACTAATTTGGAAACACTTTTTGTCGAGAAAAAGGGCTTTAACACAAATTAATGTGGTGTCACATGACACCTATTCAGCATCCCTATGTTAAAGATTGTTTCTATATGACCAAACATTTGACTGTACCAATTTTTTTTATGGATTCTAAAATTTTGCATATAGGCTACAGGACAAATGAGCTGCCCTGTGTCCAAACCCATGGGGTTCGTCAAATAAAGGCTGTTACATGCAGTCCTGTCAGACAAGCTGTCCCACTACGCAGTGATTTTTAATTAACTAATATTTCCTAATTAAGTAATAGGCTTATTATAAGTGAAAATAGTAAGCAGTAAACTGGCAAATTCCAATTGTCTCGTTCCTCTCTGCATGTTACAAAAATTTGGGATGCGACAGATTTTCTATAATTTGCGATACACAGTAAATTAAATCATGTATGGAAACGACGAAATCGAGGGCTGATTTTTTTAGCGATACAATAAAACTTTTTTTTTTTTTAGAGATGACGTCATTACGCACACCATTTTATCGGTAATAGGCCAATTGGATGGAAACAGGCTGGAGACAGCAAATTTCGCAATCTTCTTTTTAACGTATATACACTTTGTCGATAAAAACTTGGCTATTTTCATCTAAATGATCGGCACTGGGATGTTCGCTAACAGTATATTGCTGCAAAGTTATCGTATGCAAACATATTTTTACCCCTAAAAGCGAAGATCGAAAACTTTGCAGTTAGTATATCAGGCCTTAATCGGTTGCTAGGGTGTTGCTAAGCCTATATCAGATTTTATTTGACCAATTTCATTGTCTGTCAAATGAAAATTTGAACTGACTGCTTAGAAAACAGAACCTCCTCTCAAAAACTGCACAATTTGAGGAATCATTCATGTTCGTAGCACAAATTGTGCATGCGGAGTTGCTCACCAATGATTAAATATTTAAGCTCAATGGATTTGAACAAAACACTACCAGAAGCACATCATATGAGAAGACTGCACTAATGCAGAGGATGCAATAAAGGAGACACTGACTCAGAGTATCGGTCATAGAAGGGTGAGCGGAGCAGGTAGTAGAGCAGAAGGAAGGCCCGTCTCCTCATCTCAGCGCGCTCTCTGCGGTTCAGCGCCTTCATGTCACTCAACAAACTGAAACTGGACAGAAAACAGCATCAGATTGAACTTCTTTAAATCTTTACAGACAGGCTGACAAAGACCGCAAAGAGAGAGAGGAGCAAACTTAAGCACTCTGTACCTGGTTATCTCTAAGAGACCAGAGATGATCCAAGGCTTCCAGGAACGTTTTCCGCAAATCCCAAGACTGGCCACTTGCAAATGTTAAGGATGATGGATGACAAACTGAAAAAATATTCATCACCATCATCTTAAAACTTGTAAAATGTATGTTCATTATAAAATCCTCATGAAGCTTTAATATGATCAGTGGTGATGAAATTGTTTGAATATTTTTATGACCATGCTCAACAAACAATTCAAGTTACAAGACAAACGAGAAACGCGCTGTCTGTGAATATCCTGGCTATGTGACACACATGCGACGCACAGAAAGACGCATGCTCACCAAATCAAAATATCTCTATCTCCCTTTTGGAGCGACATCTCTTTGATGATGTGTTTACTGGCGCGAGGGCGGGGCAACCTGTCAATCACATGAGATCGACCAATAGCAAACCACATCCATCCAATTCCATATGGACAAATTCAAGTCCCGCACTACCTTTTTTTCCTCTCCGAGAAGCCGTTTCACTCTGATATACGTCACAATAGGGAAGGAAAGACTATCGCAACTTTCGTTTCATGCCGACTTTAACTATCCTTATCCTTAATCCTAATCCAGTAAACAACGAACTGGAAAAAGCCATGTAAATTCATTGGTTAAAAAGTGGTAACATTGAAAACATTCAGCTCTTAAAACTTCTGAAATCCTGAAAAGTAATTTACAGAATCCAGTGCCGGCCTTCGAATATTGCATTGGAAAATAGGAGGCATTGGAGTAAAAAACGTTGAGAACGACTGCTTAGAGTAATTGTATTTCATTATATTTTAAGAGTTTATTTTGTTTGACCATGCTGTAAAGAAAATGTGTAGCTGGTCACATAAAATGACACTTAAAAACCAAGCGGTAAGTAGTAATCTTACAAAAGCCAATTCCCACTTGAGTTTTCCAATTGTTCCCACACCCCTGGGAATAAATTAACTATTCGGCTATCCTGGGATAATATTACACTGGGATATTGTTGTGAAAATTGTCATAAAAGAGAATTAGCAGAAAGGATACAATGAACAAGCGGTCGTGCGATGTACAGGGACTCTGCAATGGTTTCCTGCAGACCCAGAGGGGTCGGGCTTGAGTGGAGATCCTCTTCCTGATTCCTACTCATTTTCATTTTCTGAGGGAGACCCCAAAGACGAGACTGTAATGATGGTGCTAGAAAAAAAAGGAAACAATACATATTAATGAATGATCACATGCCAAGAGGAAAAAAAAGGAAAGATAAAGAAACGATAAGAAAGTCATGGAACAAAAAGGCAAAAGAAAATTACAAGATACTAAATGTGAAAGTAAAATTTTAAACATGCAAAATTAATAATATTAAGAAAATAATGATACCTGCATAAAGAGAAAACCAAGAAAGAATCTTAAAGAAACGGACGATTATCAAAATCTTCATTTAATCCCATAGGTGCTATAGTTTCTAATGTGTAAATCCAGAAGGTTTCACGTTTCAAAAGTACACGATTAATCTATTGCTACGTATTGTAAGGTAGAGACCGAATGTCTAAAAGTAGCAAAGAGCCGAGTTACCGGACTTGTGAAATCTCGATTTCTTATTTTACATCTTATTTTTTGCAGTATGTTTGAAAGTTTGAGTTTTATAAGTAAAATTACATTGTTGACATCTATATTACAAAATGACATCTATAATTGTCAAAAGGCACTTTATTTTAATAATTTAAAAAAAAATGTGAGGGAGGGGTTAAATCCGCTAAAACCAAAATATTGTGTAGATTAGGTGGTCTTAGATACTACACGCGGTGGTTTTTCAAAGCATTTCTTGAAATTTGGGTCCCTGCCCACAATATGCCAATGTTTAAGTAACACGCCTTCTATGCCTTTTGCCAACGGTGAGAATTGAATATAGCAGGTCACTCGATGTTCAAAAGTCTTCGGCCTTTTAACAAGACACACACGTTGTGACATATTCATAAAAAGACTCGCAGCAGACTGAAGCCATTCTTCCTAATATGCTCTTGCTCTAAACCAATCTGATAAAGTTGCTGCTTGATGTTGGAAGTCATCATCCCCTATACTGCACATACGACTGAATTAAGATATGTAATGAATGTTTTAATGACTCAGGATGATACAACGTACCATGTAACAGTGTATTACTATCAGTAGGTGGTTTCCAGACCTGATACAGATTTGATAACGAATTTGATATGCTCCTGATGTATTTCAATGGTAATTTCAGTGCACTGCAGTTATCACTAAACAGTTTATGAAACTCAAACTACTGAGACTCAGTACCATTCCATAGCCAGAAAACATCAATGTACCGCTTCCATTGCACAATATGTTGTAAGAAAGGGTTACAATCTGGGTGGTACACAAATCGTTGTTCAAACATACCACATTATTTCCTTTGTAAAACACCCAATTTGAGCATTTTATGGCAAGCCGTTTTAACTTTTATTAATTTCCAGGATATGACTCCTTGATAACAACAATTACATTTTCACTAGTTAAAATGATAATTATTGATATCAGGAATAATATTTCTACTAGTAACAATGGCAATTTTGGATATCAGGAATTACATTTTCACTAGTAACAATGCTTATTCTTGATATCAACATTTACATTTTCACTAGTTAAAATGATAATTCTTGATATCAACAATTGAATTTCAACTAGTTAAAACTATAATTCTTGATATCTGTAATTGTATTTTCACTAGTGAAATGTCACCATAGGCTGCCATTCAAAATCAATTCTTGATATCAAGAATTGATTTCTTACTAGTTGAAATTCCAATTTCACATATCAGAAATACAATTCTTACTAGTAAAAACCTTTATTTTTGATATCAAGAATTAAATTGTCACTAGTTGAAATGTCTAATCTTGATATCAACAATTGAATTGCTACTAGTAACAATGTTCATTTTTGATATCAATAATTCAATTTTCACTAGTGACAATGTTAATTTCTGATATCATGAATGTGATTGTTACTAGTAAGAAAGCCATTTTAGATATTTGAAATAATATTGATATCAGAAATACATTTTCAGATATCAAAAATGAAAAATTTTACTAGTAGCAATTCAGTTGTTGATATCATGAATAGACATTTAGACTAGTGACAATTTAATTATTGATATCAGGAATTCACATTTTTACTAGTAACAATGTAATTATTGATATCAAAAATTATATTTCTACTAGTAAGAAATCAATTCTTGATATCAACAATTGATTTTGAATGGCAGCCTATGGTGACATTTCACTAGTGAAAATACAATTGTTGATATCAAGAATTCAATTGTTGATATCAAAAAATATAATTGTTGATATCAAAAATGTAATTGTTGATATCAACAATTCATATCCTGGAAATGAATAAAAGTTAAAACGGCTTGCCATAGCATTTTTTGCCGGTGATGTGCGTGCTTTGGACCTGTTTTTGCCAAGTCTTACCGCTTCCCAGTGGACGGACCACTCTTCCTGAACGCTGGCCCACGAAAGACGTGTCCTCATCATCTTCTTCTGTATTGTTCTCTGTGTAGGGAGATCAATGTATGAGCGGTGTGCAGGAAATCACTTTTCGCCATAAAGAACCCACAGTACACCGACTGCAGGAGCAGTTTCCTTTCGCTCAAGGGCAAACCGCAGTAACTCCATGGGCTCTTACTCAGCCTTACATTACACTCAACAACACAATGACAGTTTATCTGCACAGGCCATACACTGCTCTTATTGTCTCACGCACGGTTTATTTATTGTCATCAGTGGGAGTGTTCTGGTGCTTATTGTTGTGGGTTCATTGTTTGTTGTGACTGTGCTAAATGCCCGGCACAGCGGTTTCCAGAGACACTTCAGTTGGTTTAACATCCTGTCATGCCGTGGAAAAATAACAATAAATTAACTCTGACTTTTAAATTTGAAACCATAGTGTTAATATTTAGATTTTTGCATTTGGCATACTTTTATTCATAGGTACTGTATTTTCTCAGTTCTTGCATTCTTTGGGAATTAAACCTAAACTTGGCATTGCTAGCACTGTGCTGTGATTTTTGAGCTTCAGGAACGCTTAGTAACTAAGATCTTCTATGTTTCCATCCACCAATTTGTATGTGAAATTTGGGATATTGCATTAAAAATAAGCTGGATGGAAACGGCATAAATTCTACAATTGTGCATTAAAAATGTATGCAATTGATTAAGGTGGATAATTTTTTATCAGATCAGATGACATGCGCATAAACAACAATGGAAACACGTTTGTGATTTTGCCTCAACAGAGAGGATGCGACTTGATAACTGGACCAACCAGTGGACCAATTTAGATCGATCGATCTATCTATCCTCTATATAGATTTCAAAGAAGTAAAACATTATCTTTTTTTTTTTATGACCAAAGACCCCCAGAGGATTTGTTGTGGCTTCTGTCACTCTAGAAGTCTTGTTTTTTTTTTAAAGACAGACTTTATCATCAAAGCGGAGTTGGTGTGCAGACAACCTTAAATACAAATTTCCATTCGCTTCAATCAAGGTGGAGTCAATGTATTTCATTTATATCACTATTGTGTTTCTAAAACTATATTAAGTAAAACAAAAGATCTCAGTTCATCACATGCTTTCTCATATGATGGTAGCACAAAGAGTCTTCAGTTCATTATAAATGAGTGTGGCAAGCAGGACGGGGCCGAGAGCCGCGGGAACAGAGCGAGGCCAAGCGTGCCGCACAAGCCCTCAAAAGTGAAGCCAAAATGTCTCGATCGCCCCCCACTGACCGGCCCTAGTATAGGTCATAAACCCCGCCTCCCCGTGTTAATCAACGGGACGTGAGACGAACTAAACAATTCGGCTTTGGCTAAGCCCCGCCCCCCTTAGTTACTGTTGCTACGTCCGACAAACAAACTTCATCTGGGCTCTGGTATCAACATGGCTTATGCTGTGACAGCTCTTCCTGCTGCAATTTTATCAAACTTTTATAAAGCAGCAAATAAAGTGTCCGATAGAAGTAGGCAAAAGGGGCTGCAATACGTTCGAAGGCTATATTCACGACATACAGGTGAAACGCAAGGAACAACAAGGCATCCAAAGGCAAAAGCATACCGGTCACAGTCAAAAAATGAACCACCGCATATCTTACTAATCGAGACGGAGGCTGGGACTAACAATATCAAGGAGCAACACTGTTCATGCAAAGCTGGGTAGGTCTCTATTCACTTCTATAATCGTTATTACAACGCAAACGGACTACGCGAGTATAACGTTGTATTTATTAGCAGCGTGAGCTACACTTGTCAGGATTTGACTTCGGTTTTGGGAAGGGAAAAAAACAGACACCCCCCTCCAACCTCTCTGGGAAACGCGTATCTGTGTTACAAATGCCCCAGCCACAACGTTTAACCATATTTTTGATAAAACTACGATGGTAATAGCCTGCCGAGACCAAAAATATGAGACGCCTGTGTTAAAGTCAATGGAGCGCTGTGAAAAAATGTCGGAGCACTGTGGGAGCTAGTTCTTGGCTGCGCTGTGATTGGTCAATCTACATTCAAGGGTGTGGCTTAGCCAAAGGCGAATTAAATTACACTTCATCACATATCCTTTTCCAAAGATAGTTTCTGTCATTTACTGTAGTTTCTATCACGTTGATGTAATTTCAAGTGTTTGTTTTTAAAATAAGTTTGTTTTTAGTTAGTTATTTGATGCTATAAAAACGGTGCTGTGACATCATGATTGACAGCTGTGATTGACAGGTTCTCTGTGCGAAGTAGTCACTGAAGCACCAACGGACTTTTTTTCATAATGTTGACTATGTGGTTAGTAGTTGTATTTACCTTATTTTAACGAGGTACTGCAATCAGCAGACAGCATTGGAGAGGAACGGAGCAGACAGAGGCCACTTAAGAAAAGTGCAGGGCGTGTGCTTGCGATTGATTCAGCGAGAGTGAGGGCGGGGCCTTGATTTTGCTTTACTTCCTGCTCACGACTGCGCATGACTGGTCCCGAAAACGCTACTGCGCAAAACTCAAGCCCCAAGACGTCAGCGCCATATCGGGACACTGGCGGCTTCAGTTCTCTCCGATTGAAAAGAGCGAAGGGGCGTCGTCCATCTCTTTTTACAGTCCATGAGCGAGGCCGGTGGCGCGAGTGCTAAAGAGCCCCGGAATGATCATCAGAAATAATTGTAGGATAAAAAGGCTATTTTCACATAGACCACACTTGATTCTTTCATATTCAGCTCAATAAAAATCTTCATCCAAGGCTTTGTTGACTCAATAGTTTGTCTTGAACTTTTCTAGTTATTTTTGAAATATGAATCTGCCTGTGGTTCTTGTCTAATCTCACCTTGACTACAGAGCTGAGAGTCCCTGTCCAGAGGAATTATAGGGGGTGATGTCTGGATGCCTGATTTGTACCAGAAAAGCAGGAGACAGCGCAGAATCGCTCTGAAAACACAGGAGAGAATGACGAATTGGAACGATGGAAATGAGGACGCAGCAATAATTCGATTAACTGCTAGTACAACTGAACATGACAATTCTTGTCATCAATGAGAGCTTCAGCAGATATGAATATTCATAAAACAACAACTTAAATATTTGTGTTTTACACAAAGCTATTGTATGGCTTCAGAAAACTTAGAAAATGGTGTTGGAGTCATATGGACTATTGTTATGATACTTTAATGGTTCTCTTTGTGTCCTTTTTTGAGCTTGTTTTGGAGTGCATGTGCACTTTCATTGAATGGAAAAGAGCACTCAGAACATTCGGCTAAACATTTTACATCCCACAGAAAAGAGAAAGTCATAAATGAAATGACATGACGGTGCATAAATGATGACGATATGTCCTCTTGGTGAACTACTCCTGTAAGCATACCACATCTGAAACAGGGTCCTTACTTGGCAATCTGAATAAGAACAATAACAAGCCAACGTCCAGCGTCCCCCCACAGCTTGGCGGCCCCCATCTCAGTGAAAACCTCCACATACTCCAATACTGACAGCCAGGTTAACAGCTTCTGTTGAGAAAGAGACTACACACACACACACACACACACACACACACACACACACACACACACACACACACACACGATCAGGATAAAATGCAGAGAAATGTTTCATATTTTTCTGTTCAGTTTGGTCTAAAAGAAAAGAGGTTAGCCGTACTGTAGTCTCAGCCTTGGTGTGTCATTATTAAAATTCATCATTTCTTTATTACTGTGGTTTAATCCATTTTAGATTAAAGTGATAGATCAACCAAAAATGAAAATTAGTAACTTACCCTCATGTCTTTCCAAACCCATAAGACTTTCATTCATCAAATGAAGATATCATCTTGAGAGATTTCTGTTCTCCACTGAAAGTCTGTTGTTCACCCAAAACTCTGATGCTTTAAAGCATTCATAAAGAGATCGTAAAAGAAATCCATATAAATTGAGCGGTTTAATCCACATCTTCTAAAGAGACAAGAATCACACAAACGCTTTATATAATGAACACATTTCATTTAGTATTTTTGTTTTTCAGCAACATGCATCTCAAACGCTTGTTGATGCACGAGAACCAATAAGGGATGAGCTTTCGATCCCATATTTGAATCCTCTTTGTGTGTTTGCTTATCAATGTGTGTGAATAAAATGTGTATAAAATGTGTTAAAGCTATCATATCTCTTCAGGAGACTTAAGGATTAAACCACATTTGATTCGTATGGATTTATTTTACAATCTCTTTATAAACGTTTTGAAGTGTCAATTTTGGGTGATTGACTTCCCTAATGGGACAAAATGAACTGTGGATGGGCGCTTTACAATATCAGTCTCTTCCTCTCTAAGTGGTGGTTTTAGGCTAGAATAAGCCAGAATGAGAAAGAGGACTAGAGTTGATGTCGTATACTAGACTAGTAGGACTATCACAAACTCAATATAACGTCAAACAGCCTCTGAGGAGGTCCGTGGAGGTCACGGCTCGAAAGCCCATGGCTGTAAACGCAAACTCATTCTTCTTGTCCCCGTGGCTGAGCTGCTCTGAAAGTACCTGTCTTTAAATGTGTTTATTCCTGTGCACTGCCAATGGAGCCCACAAAGCCAAATATGTCTCTAAAGTACAAACATAAAAGAGCAGAAAAAAAAACAATGGATCTTTGTAGACTGTGAAGGGGTCAGGCGTATTTCACAAGCTGCCCATTTCAAAGCCACCTCGAGCAATACGAGGCTGTCATCAGTGGGGCGACAATGTGGATAACAAATAATCTATTGCGGCACAGTGGCAGAGTTGGGGCGAAAGACTTGGGAAATAAATTCTTTGACAATGTGCGGTCAAAAGAAAGCAGCTGGCAGCGACTTTGAACACATCAAGCTTGCTACAACTTTGAATCTTCTCTCTTGAAGCAGACACACAGACTGTGCTGTTTCACAAGTTTCACCATAGAAAGCTCTCATTCCTAGATAACTTTATGGTGGTTGCCATGCCAACTGCACATGCACATATCAGTCCCTTGTGCAAGTGTGATGATTAAGAAGAGAAAGAGAAAACTGGCTTAGAAGAGTCATTTTATGAGAAATCAAAGTTTCCTGGATCTTTAAATAGATAAAAGAACTTGATGTACCATGAAAACATAACTGTCAGATAGGAGTGAGTGACATTGTTTTAACTATGTGGAAGCTGACATTATTGAGTGTCACTCAACAATAACATGTATAATGAGCTCAAAATTCAATATTTGAGGGCAAAAATGTTTGTGTCTTATATTTGTATATGCCATAGTTAAGCAATGCTGTTTTTTCATCAGAGGCTGTGTCCGAAATCGCATACTCTCAAATAGGTAGTTATTTTGAATAACTTCTATAGTATGTTTTTGAGTATGTTCTATATAGTATAAATGTGAGTTGTATGAATGGAATTCGCCATGTTGTCATGATCACTTGACCTACCCGTGTCAGTTATGTCACTTCACTGCCATTTACAAATCCTGTCCCGTGGCCTCGTGGGATAGTAAAGTGTCCGTCGTAGGTCATCTGGGTAGTTTTTGCCTACACTTTTATGAGTACTGTGAATTTGGACATACTTCTTTTGTCACATGATGTTTTTCATCTACCACGTAGTAGAGAAGTACGCAATTTCGGATGCAGCAGCCACTGACTCACTCATTAAGAAAGTGACTTGCTGCCACCTAGTGGCAGTTTTAGTTATATATTTAAAGTATTATTATTATTACTGTTAAATATCAGTTGGTTCTATAGCGAAGTTGCAATTGATACAAAATGCAGCAGCCAGAGTACTAATGAAATTTACAAAGAGAGAGCATATTACACAGGTTTTAATGGAATTGCATTGGTTACCAGTTCATCAAAGAATTGATTTTAAGGTTATTTTATTAGTTTATAAAACACTGTACAATCTGGCACCTCTATACTCTATACAGACTGTCTGTTGAGATATGTCCCAAATCGTAGTTCAAGATCCTCTAGTGCTAGCCTTCTGGCACATTATACAGTAAAGCATAAGCGATCTGGTGGTACTTCTTTTAGCCACTATGCTCCAAAAATTTGGAATGGTAGATGAAGTAAAACAGGCTACTAGCATTCATATTTTTAAAAAGCGGGTTAAGACATATCTTTTTAAAGTTGCTTATCAATATAATATGGTGTTGTAATATAACAAAGCTGTGTGTAAGTCAGTTTTATGTTTATTTATTTTATTTTATATCGATATTGAGGTTGAACTATATTGCCAATTTACTTTATTTTACACGCTGAACCTTTATAGTTGTTTTTGAATATTTTTATATTTACATTATGTGATTGTATTATTTGATTTTATGCATGTGAAGCACTTTGAGTTGCATTCTATGTATGAAAAGTGCTATACAAATAAATGTTTATTATTATTATTATATATTTTTTAAATTTATATTTCAATATTCAAAATTATTTAAAACTATAGCATTATTTATTTATGCAATTATAATTCCAAAGTAAATGCATCTAAATGCTGCTTTAGATGCAGTGCAAAAATGGATTTCGTTGTTACTGATTTCATTTGACTGGTAACAGCCTGTAGTGTCTCATTATTCTAACTTATTGATTAAATGCAAGAATTTGGCATTAACGATGATGCACACATCTAGTAAGGTGGTTAGAACAAAAAAAAAATGCCCTTACAAAAGTAAAAATGCCCATGGAAATCAATTTAAGGTGGCAAATGTCTAGCCTCGTGAGACCATCCTGATCTCGCGAGCTTTCAAGGTTTCACTCGCAGATCAGTCTGGATACTTTCCGTTAAAGAAAATTTGGGAGCAGTTCACCAAACGAACGTCCAATCAGCGTTGGCTTTGAGGCGTGTTGAGGTGTGACGCAACGAGAAGCGCGTCAGTTCAGTCTAAAGAACATGTCGGCTTCAGCGGATGAAACTAGCATCAGCGTGGCTATCGAGCAAGTTTTATCGGAATTACAGAGTATTTCTTCACTGAAAGAAGAGCAAAACACTGCTCTGGAGGCTTTTCTCAGAGGAAAAGATACGCTCTGTTAGTACGTCATATGCTTCGTTGATCTGATTGGTTGATTTGGCCCGTCTATCACCAACATAGGCCAATCAGCTAACCAGTATTTTCGCCCCTTACCAAAACTACTTCAACGGAAGGTTTCCAGATGGATATGCGGAGCAAATCCATCTGGCGGAGTCAGGTTAGCAAATGTCACCCCTTAATTAAAAAGATAATTTCAGTCACTGCAGAGAACTAAACACAGCACAGAAAATGAAAAATATTAAAAGCTGTGAGTCAGCTGTCCACAACAGGCCGAAACAAGTCAAGGTACCAGCACAAAAAAAAAAAAAAAAAATTATCATGATGATATTGAGATATAATTTTTTGTCAGTATTGCACACCCCTACTGTCAGAACTCAAAACTTACTCTCTACTACACTAGAAACAAATATTTTGATGTCAACTAGCAGTTGAAGTTTAATTTTAACAAGGTCTTTCATCATTTCAACCTGACTAATTGTTTTTGCAACGTCATACAAAGTGGATCATTTTATGTGTCAATGTGAGTGGACCATGTGTGAAAGGGGCACTTACTAAAGGCACGGCAACAAAAATGGACCATTTATTTTCAAGAGTCAGAGAGGAGGTGGAAAATGAAACCAAAAAACCCTTCACTGACAATAAGAAGACCGTAAAGAAAAAAAATACAATGTATAATGTGAGATTAAGGGACATTACCACAGTCAACGTCCGAGAAAGATTCTTCCTTAAGATGCCATCATTCAGCAGCACTAGCAGGTTAGATGCTGAGTAGACTGCAAATCAAAGTGAGAAACACATAAAACACAACAGAATATAGGCTAGAAGGACATTAATGCAAAAATAAAACAAAGAAGACTATATAAAGTAGTGAATCCTACCCAACTCTGAGATTTCATGAGAGTCTGAGAAGCGACCTGTAATGAGAAAAATACATTGAAGTTATAATTCTATGTAATCAAAAAATGTCCCCTAAAACTATCTAGAGTTATAATCTAGAGAGTTATAATATAAAATATATATTTACATAGATTTGCGTACCCTTTTAGTCATAGTTTCCATACTCCAAATTCTGTTATTTCATAGTTTTTATTACTTTTATTCTAAAATGCGGAACATAGTAGATAATAATAAAGAATGAGTAGGTGTGTCCAAAAAGGTTTGAATAGTAAATAATACATAATACAGTTAATGGGTATTTGGCATGACAGGTCAAACAGTGACAGTTGTGTTCTACATTGTGGCATGACAAAGTTAAATCTCAAACTATTAAAAGAACATTTTCTGCATTGTTTTTATATCTCATGTTAATTAGGCTACATGAAATATTTGTGCGTTTAGAAATGTGTACGAGGCATGCAAATCCAATCCCACATAAATTTGATGAATTTGAATGTTTTTGAAATAAAAAAACAAGGACCCAAATACAGAAGATAACAACACAATACAGACAACTGCCGAATGAAATACAATAACCGAATAAACATACATCTAGCTTCGGTCTTGCGCGACACTGTTTTACAAGACGCGAGAGAGTATGTTTACTTTCACTTTGACAGACATTCAGTGTCTCACCTGCGATCAGGTAACTCAGCGCGCGCACTGTGCTCTCCAGATGAGACGCGGCCGCCGGGTTCGTCCTCACATACTCCTGATAACGCTCATAAACACGACTTATTTTATCCATGTAGAGCACCGACATCACAATCAAAGCAATAAATTCACAATCACACACAACGCATCGCAGAAAACACGGAGACTGACACTTCCGCAGATGCAGAGCGTTTTCCTTTCACGCCACTTCCTGTTCGGCTAGCGCGCCAGACATTTAAAGACGCAGTTACCTGTTTAAAGCGCTATTTTGCGTATGCGTGTAACGTTACATATTCATGATGCACAGACGTAAGTGTGTGTCTATATACTTGGAGAAAGAAGTTGGCATGCTCAATGGCAGGTACTCAAATGGCAGGATGCCTGGTTGAACTGTGCCAGGGATGCTGGGTTGCCGATTGCTTCAGGAAAAACTCCCAAACGAAATGTAATGCACCCGCCAGCTAAGGGTATGTACCTTTACAGTCTATGGTATGTAGGCTACAATGGATGAACGTAAGAACAAATAAATATGGGTGTACTTAGTTTGACACACTTCTCCATTTTTGCTTTATTTTTGTTAAATAAACAATGACACAGTGTAATATGTCATGTGTTGTTGTTCGTCTGAGGCTGTATTTGCCTAATATTTAGACCTGCTAAAGACCAGATGATTTTTTTATTTATGTCCTGTTACGTCCTTAAAACCATAAAATTTAAAAGGGTGTCGTTTCCTTCACACACACACACACACACACACACACACACACACACACACACACACACACACACACACACACACACACACACACACACACACACACACACACACACACACACACACACACACACACACTTCTCTGTGCATAGAAGACCTACTAATATATATATATAAACATTTGTTATACATTTGATTACATACAAACATTATTTGAATGTTCTCTGAAAAAAATGTTAGATGAATGTCAAACTAAAATGTTTCAGAACCTTCCATGAACAATGTATAAACAATATTTTTTGTGCTAATGTTTTGAGAACATTATTAGACCAGATATCTTTGAATGAACATTCAAGGAAGGTTACTGGAGGAATGTTTGTTCATAACTTTGATTCTGAGAAAGTTCCCTATGATGAGCATGATGTGCTCAGCTTTGTCATTTGTAGTGTGATGATTGATCCAGACTGCCTTGTAGAGTGTAGTACTGGACAGTGTATTGCTTTTTTGAAATGTTTAGCATTGCATACTGTTTCACATACTATTTGTAAGAGTAGGCCTATAGCAGTTTGTTTTACAGTGTTTACAGCAGTATGCTAGTCTTCTGCTCTAAACATTTTTCTCCCTTTGAACTAGTAATCTTCTAAAACCTCGTCTACGGGTCAACAGCGCAGACAGGGATTAGAAAACCTCTAGATGCATGACCCAAAATTGAATATAGCCCACAACCATCATCAGCGCTTTCAGATGAACTAGAATTAATTGAGCATATGCGTTTATAGAAGCAATCCACTTTAATTTCTTTAAAAGGTTAATGATCCATTTCTCGCTTTATGTTAATAACTGAACACTAGAGGTTGCAAAATCTCCCAAGTAAGTTCAAGCCTGTGTTTATTGGCCATCTGGCACTGGTGAGCATCTAGAGATGGGCAGAGTGGGCACACATGAATATACAGTTATATAATATATAGTTTTGAATGTAGATAAAATCTGTTACCCCCTGACTTGATATAATAAACAGAACTAGGAACTTGGTTCATTAACAGCCAAGGAAACTGACACATAACACAGGCAAGGGAGCACAGGAAACAGTGAAAACGGAACAAAACGAGAACATATACACGTTACACTTAGGCTACGTCTACATTCAGACGGATACTTTTGAAAATGGCGTTTTCGTTTCAAAACGCTCTCCGTCCACACAAGCGTTTTCAGGCGTTTTCCAAAATTTTCTCATCCACGCTGAAACGTGGGGAAAAAAATATCAAAATTCACCTTACAGCGCATGCGTAAAACCTCATAAAAGCTCACTGAGATGATACGAACAGACATAATAAAGTTATCACGCACATTCTTCTGGCAGGATCATTTTATTTAGAGTGGACAAGGCCTTACTGCTTATATACTTTCAGAAGGTTTACCAGATTTATGGAATTGCACACACAGATCAGCCACTAGTCATGTACCTATCACTGAAAACTGAGACCTCTAAAACTTCCCATCACAGAAAACTTTTGGCATTTTTTAAATATATATATTTAGTTTTATTGAATTAAACAAAGGACACAGGAAGTGTCCTCGTAAACCACATTTACTTTGTAATACCCATGTCATTATACACATTTGTGTCCTCATGAACCATTTATACAGAACACACACAAAATCTGTAGTAACATTGAAAGTATGCAAATTACGTTAAGGTGAGCAAATTATGACAGAACCTTAATTTGTGGGTGAAATATGCCTTTAAGTCTTGTTCATTAGGTCTGTGTGCAAAAATAGTTTGAAGCTATATTTACTAAAGGACACGATTCTTGAACCGCCTGTTTCTGAATGTCATGGCTAATTATAAGTCTTGACAATATAAAGAAGGAATTCTTCTATGTGACGACGATAACGTGATGTGACAGGACACAGTTAGAAGAGGCTGATTCACTTTGCACATGTACTGTTCATTGATGGTATTGTTGCTTACTTTTGGCCGTCTCTCTCTCTCTCTCTCTCTCTCTCTCTCTCTCTCTCTCTCTCTCTCTCTCTCTCTCTCTCTCTCTCTCTCTCTCTCTCTCTCTCTCTCTCTCTCTCTCTCTCTCTCTCTCTCTCTCTCTCTCTCTCTCTCTCTCTCTCTCAAACCTCCAGGGTTCAGAGTGCGTTTTTAAAATACACACTCCTTTCTGAATTAAATTTTAATATATTGGGTCCTGCTGACGGAATTTTAATTTGATTGGCACACTGTTCAGTTCACCGCTGTCCTGCGATGATTAATCTTAAATGTCTTAATCAAAAGCACAGATTTAATTTAGTATTTGATCCTTCTGTTATATCCCCTGTGCATACTGAGAGAATGAAGATGCCATTCTAAATGCTGGAACAGATCTTTGGATGTATTTTTTAATGAATGTCATGATTTTACAATATCATTGTAAAAATCTAACCACAACAACAACGGTTTTCACTTGTAAACAGCTTGCTGAGCTTGGTTACGTCAGCTGGACATCAGTGTTGGTCTATGTTGTTTATTTAATTGTGCATGTTCATTTATTCTATTTCAACATTTGTGTTACCTTTGCTGACACTCAATTAAAGTGAATTAAAAAGCCCTCATTTTTATACTTCAAAAACAAATTTCATACTGTACACTACATTATAATTTCGTTATGCATAAATTCACACGATTGTTATGTGATTTACATGTTTGCCTAAATTCAGCATTTAAACTGATTGAATTTGTATTGTATTTATTACAAAATAGTATAGAATTTATCGGAATTGATCGTTTTGTATCCAGAACATTGTCAGCTTTTGCAGTATCGGCAAGAACTTTAATATGCATGCCTAATAAAAAAACGAAAGTAAACTAAATCTAACTAATCTCTCAGAAGTCAAAATGTCTTTTGCTGCTTTATTGATTCAACTTCGGTTGACGAATTTTTGCTACATTGACTCATTTATTGAACTGAAATGAATCAATGATGAACTGACTCAAAGTGAATAATGACACTGTGTCTACCGTAGAACTGATCTTATCTCATAATTGATAACTGAATTGTTGAACTGAACTGAATCGACACTGAACTGACTTCGGCTGAATGGCACTAGTGTCTTTTTGAGAGCTTCTTTACAGCAGAATTGAATTCTGTTTGCATCACTGATCATTATTTTCCTGTTTATCTTTAGATCGCAGGAGAGGCCCAGGTTCATCATTACCTCTTGGAGGGAAAGGATACACTTCAACAGATGCTTCCCTGGAAGATTAGAGGGGTCAAAAATCTAATTTTTCTTATCTAAAATAGTGAATGCCATGAAGCCAGGGCTTTCCCCCGGAGCTCCCCTTAGCCTGTGGTCTGCAGATTTGAAGGTGAGCGATGGTTCTCATGATTTAGCACAGCAGTTTGATGACATCTCTGTCCCGCCGGCGCTCCGTTGAGGGTCATTTGTCAGACATGAGTGATGCTTATGAAGGGAACGAGTGTGGATTAGACATCCCTCTCTCCACTCAATGCCGCACTCTTCCCTGGATCGTTTCTCTTCAGTTTTGGTGTGGGCAAGCACTCCCTACATTTTCTTTAGAAAATCTGGTCGCATTTTATTTTACAGTACGTGCACTTACCGTAATTCCTCAAATAAAGGCCGGGGCCTTTATTTACCTGAACTGCAGATGGTAGCCGGCTTTTATTTGAAGCAGGCTTTTATTAGAGGCAGGCCTTTATTTCTAATTCGCGATCCCCGCCCGCCCGCCAGCCAAGTTTCCATGGTGACGCATCATGCTTGGCACGTGTTCACCACAGCCAAAATAGCGCTATATGACAGATGTAGCGCTTTTATTTCTAAATATTAACAAACTTGCTTTCCATGTCATCAACTATCTTCTATTCTGACTCTCAATCCGTGTAAGTGAGTTTGTTTTGTCGTTTAAAACCCTTTATAAATGATCTTGATCTGTAACGTGAGATGGGCACCGCAGTTCGGAGATTCCTGTTGTATTTGTTAAGTTACAGCGCGTGAATTCTTCAGTTTCTCCCGAAATACATGAAAGTAAGTGGCCGGTGAACTGGGAGAAGAATAGAGTAAACTTTATAGTTACTTACACTGTGTATCTGATATGAATAAAACACGTCGCCAAATATATTTGAATGGATTGTTATTGCTGCTTCCATAGACACCATTGTGTATTTTACAAACTATAAATTTATCGTTTTGCTATAAATCATATCTATTTAAATGTCTGAAACCTAAAATAAACATGTGGTTAAAAACACTTAATAGTTGTGATATATGACAAGCGCTGAGCGCGTCCGTCTTTGAGTGTACATTCATTTAAAGTGTACCTATTCACACTATTTTTTCCCCGGCCTTAATTTGAGACCGGCCTTTATTTGTCCGCGTTGACCACGCCCCCGGCCACTATCAGAGGCCCGGCGTTTATTTGAATACCGGTCTTTATTTGAGGAATTACGGTATGTGTACTTACCTAAGAAAGTACTG